TCACTGCCTGGGAAAAGAAACTGCCCAAGCAGTACACCGTTGCCGCTGCCCCTGGGGCGAACTCCCTCCACCTCCCGTTAGAGCTCGAGTCCACCACCAGGCGCTGAAGCTCTCACTCTCTGGGCTTGTCGACTGTGGTGCCACCTCCGACTTCATTGACACGAACTATGTTGCTCGGAATGGCATTCCGGTCCGCACCCTCGATCAGCCGATTCCGGTTTTCAATGTCGATGGCACCCCCAATGACGCTGGCTCCATCAAACAGATCGCGGACTTGGTCCTGCGCTACAAGGGCCATGCCGAACGAGTTCAGCTGGCCGTCACCCATCTTGGCAAGCAAGACCTCATCCTGGGGTATTCCTGGTTGCGGAAACATAACCCAGAGATCAATTGGGAAACCAAGGAGGTCAAGATGACACGGTGCCCCCCGCAATTGCTCGACCTGCCGTGAGGAAGAGCGCGTCGAACGGACCGAGTTGCGGCGACTCCGGTCGCTTCAGAAGCGTCTCCGCTCCGGCCCGTTCCCCTCGGTCTGCGCCATGGACCTTTCTGGGTCTGATGACGGAGACGATTCCGTCTCCGGTGACGACTCCGGCCTGCCTGATCTGACACCGGACTCCGACGACGATGATGATGACGATGGTCAGCTTGAAGATGGTGACCGCATCTTCTACACCTCGTTCTGCCCCTCGGAGGAGATACGCGCTGGCAGTACTGTCTCGCAACGCCTGGCCAAAGCCTTCGCCAGGAACTCCGCCCCTCCGCCCTCCGAGATCCCGGACTGGGCTAAGGAGTTCCAGGACGTCTTCAACAAGGAGTCCTTCGACACGCTACCGGAGCGGAGAGCCTGGGACCACGCCATTGAACTCGTCCCCGACGCTAAGCCCACCAACTGCAAGGTGTACCCCATCTCGCCCCTCGAGCAACGCGAGCTCGACGCGTTCATCGAGGAAGGGCTTTCGACGGGCCAGATTCACCCCTCCAAGTCTCCGATGGCGTCTCTGGTCTTCTTCGTCAAGAAGAAGGACGGCCGACTCCGCTTCGTCCAGGACTACCGTGCTCTCAACGCGATGACTGTCAAAAACCGGTACCCCCTTCCGCTGATCAACGACCTCATCAACCGGCTCAAAGGCGCTCGTTACTTCACCAAACTCGACGTCCGTTGGGGCTTCAACAACGTCCGGATCAAGGAAGGTGACCAGTGGAAAGCGGCTTTCCGGACTAACCGAGGCCTGTTCGAGCCGTTGGTGATGTATTTCGGCCTGACAAACTCTCCCGCGACGTTCCAAACGATGATGAATGACATTTTCCAGGACCTCATCCTCTCCGAAAACATCATGATCTACCTTGACGACATCCTGATCGCCCATTCCGACCTCCGGAAACACCGGCAGATTGTCCACAATGTCCAGGAGGTCTTACGGCGACTCCGGGAGCACAAGTTGTACCTTCGAGCGGAGAAGTGCGACTTTGAAAAATCGTCAATCGAGTACCTCGGAGTCATCATCTCCCACAACCACGTTGAAATGGACCCCGTCAAGGTCGCAGGCGTCTCCGCTTGGCCGACTCCGGAAAACAAGAAGGACATTCAGCAGTTCCTTGGGTTCGCTAACTTCTACCGCAGGTTCATTCGGGACTTCTCGACCCTTGCACGCCCTCTTTTCGTGCTCACCAAGAAGGACCAGCAATGGACTTGGGGCGACGCGGAGGCCTCCGCGTTCCAAGTGATCAAGGACGCGGTCACCTCGGAACCGGTCCTGGCGATTCCGGACGACGCATGGCCTTTCCGACTCGAGGCGGACAGCTCTGATTATGCGACGGGGGCGGTTCTTTCACAATCCGCCCCGGACGGGAAGTGGCACCCTGTAGCATTCTATTCCAAAAGCTTAAATGATGTCCAGCGCAACTACGAAATCCACGACAAGGAGATGCTCGCGATCATCCGCGCACTCGAGGAGTATAGACACTTCCTCGAGGGCGCCGCGCACCCTGTCGAGATTTGGACTGACCATAATAAGAATTTGGAGTACTTCAGGAAGACGCAGCACCTCAACCGGAGACAGGCCCGGTGGTCTCTGTACCTCTCCCGGTTCGACTTCACGCTGCACCACAAGCCTGGCCGCGATATGGGTCGGCCTGACGCCCTCTCCCGGAGACCCGACCACGGAGTCGATTCCGACAACTCCGATGTCGTCCTTCTGCGGCCTGAACTCTTCCACGTCCGCGCACTCGAGGGCGTTTCCGTTTCCGGTCCCGGCTCTGAACTCCTCCGCGACATCCGTGATGCCCTCTCCGGTGAGCCTGACCTGGAGGAGCCCGTCGCACTAGCGGCCCGGCAACTTCTTAAGGTTCAAGGTCAAGCTCGAGGCCCCCGCTCCTCACGTTCTGACGAGTGGGCCGTCTCCGGCGGTCTTCTCCATTTCCGAGGAAAAATTGTCGTACCAAAGGACAAGGACCTCCGGAGACGCATCATTGAGCTCTGCCATGACACCCGAGTCGCCGGACACGCAGGTCGTTTCAAGACCCTGGAGTTGGTCTCCCGGAACTACTGGTGGCCTCAGATGTCTCGCCATATTGGCCGGTATGTTGCGACCTGTGACTTGTGCTGTCGCACCAAGGCACTCCGGAGACTGCCCCACGGAGAACTGCACCCCACGGAAACGCCCCCGGAACGCTGGCATACCATCTCCGTCGACTTCATCGTAGAGCTTCCTGAAGCCCATGGGTACGACGCGATCATGGTCGTCGTTGACACCCTCGGAAAGCGCGCCCACTTCTCAGAGTGTCATACGACGGTCGATGCAGTAGGGGCAGCCCGCCTCTACTACCGGAATGTCTGGCGGCACCACGGGACTCCGGAGAAGTACGTCTCCGACCGCGGCTCGCAGTTCATCGCGGACTTCACCCGAGAACTTTGGCGTCTAATCGGCATCAAGCCCGCCACGTCCACCGCGTACCACCCACAGACAGACGGTCAGACAGAGCGCGTCAACCAGGAGCTGGAGCAGTACTTGCGGATCTTCACCAACTACCAGCAGGACGACTGGGATGAGCTGATTCCGGCCGCGGAGTTCGCCTACAACAACCATGTTCACTCCTCCACGCAGCAGGTCCCCTTCATGACGGACACGGGACGGCTCCCGCGCATGGGCTTCGAACCCGGAGTCCGTTCCGCCATGGAGTCAGTGAACGAGTTCCGCGACCGGATCGCCACTGGTGTTGCTGAAGCCAAGGCCGCGCTCACTAAGGCCAAAGAGGAGTACAAGCGCTACTACGACCGGAGACGGACTCCGTCTCCGGAGTTTAAGGTTGGCGACCGTGTTTGGCTGGATGCCTCTGACATCAGGACGACTCGCCCCTCGGAAAAGTTCTCCCATCGCCGCCTCGGACCGTTCAAGATAGTCGCGGAGATCAGCAAAGGTGCCTACAAGCTCGACCTCCCTCCGCGCTACTCGAAGCTCCACCCGGTCTTCCCCGTCGTCAAGCTCGAGCTCGCCCAGGACGACCCCTTCGACGGACGCCCCGGCTACGACCAGCCCCCTCCGGACCTCGAGGACGGAGTCCCGGAGTGGGAAGTAGAGGAAATCCTGGACGCAAGGGTGAGGTATAAACGGCTGAACTACTTTGTCAGATGGAAAGGCTACGACACATCGCACGACCAATGGGTCCGCTTCGACCGCGTCTTCGCCCCGGAGAAAATTGCGGAGTTCTATCGTAAGTACCCTGGCAAGCCACGACACATCGCCTCCGCGACCTTCGACTCGATTCCGTTCCGGTCTATGCGTCGGGACGCCGCATTCAAAGGGGGGGGGTGATGTCAGGGGAACCTCCCTTTTGGCCCGGAGACGCGCCCGATTCCGGTCCGACTCCGGTTCCGACTCCGGTCCGGCCCTCCATCTCGCCCGCACAATCACCGATCCGTCAACACCCTCCCGACGGTCGCCCTGGGACCTTGCCTGCGACGCCGCCCAAGCCTTCTGTGCCCGACAGCGGCAGCTACGGACAAGCAGTATATAGTCAGCTACCTAGCAGGCGGTCCGGCGGACCCTTAGAGTTTCTTCTCTTTGGATCCTCCCCTGCTAGGTCAGCTTCATTTGTATTCGCTTACCAATGTTCACGCTTTGGATCCTCCCCTGCTAGGACCTTGATCTCAGGCCTCCGGGGTTGCCCTTACAGTGCAGCCAGTTGAGCTGTTGGTATGACATAAAAATAAAATATCCATATGTACTTTGAAATATCCATATGTACTTGTAGTCTTTGAGTAAATCTCAAGTCTGAGAACAGCAAGAAGTATGACATATGTCTAGCAAGGTCACAGTTCGGCTCTCTGCCGCTTGCGGCCTTATCCCCCCTCATTAAATTTCATACTCCAAAGCAGTTCAGTCACTTTCCAAATATGTTTTCTTTCTGAGTAGTATTGTCCAAAGATATGATATGGATTACGGAATACACATATAACATGGAAAATAAGTACAGATACGATATGTAGAATCAGTGTCCGTATCATATCATATCGTTTTAATAGATAGCAAGTGCCAATATTTAAGGTTTTATCATACCTTCTAGGTCCGAAATGGCTACTTGTGTGAGTTTTTGGACACTGTATACCTTTCCACTGTGATTAAAGCTTATTCTAGATCATTTTATAAACAAAATATGAATATAATACACTAAATAAGCCCTCAATACAATATATATACAATATGATATGCCAAATTTCGTATCATATCCTTCTTTGGGCAACACTATTTCTAAGGCTATGCTAGCATAATATGTTCAAGAGTGTCTGGACTCTTACTGGCTTTATTTGTCCCAAACAAGTTGAAGTTGTTGGCATTACTGAGCATGAACAAATCTTGCATCTTGTATCTTGTATCTTGCATCACCCTCAACTTCCCTGGGAAATCACAAGTCAATAGTATACCACTAGTAGTACAGTTGATCCTATTTTGCCCAAAAAGAAAATCCAAATCCAATCCTGCTTGTCCCATATGCCTCCATCAATAATCTGTATGGTAATGCTTCTCCTGCCTGACGGTAACAACAACAGGCAGCACGACCTCCGAGCTTCCGTCCCCGCTCTCCAGATCCTCCTTCGTCCGCCGCCCAAAGCCCGTGCTGTCCATCGGGATAGAGTCCGCGTCCGACTGATAGTGTGTCTCGACGTCCTGGCGGATGCGCAGCACTGTCGGCGACTGGTCGTGGCTGAGAATCGTCTTGCGGGCGTTGGAGGTGGTTGACTGCGCCGAGTTGCCCGGCATCAATGCGCGGTTGTTCAAATTGGACAGCATGGACCTAGATTCCGGAGACGTCCATAAGAAAAAAAAGCATTGGAATGGAAGGTCATGCACAGAGTATATATCCGTCCAAGGGTCATCTCAATCATGGTGGCAGTGTTGAGCTCTGGCTGCGCTTGAAAGACGATGATCGAGACTACGCTGTTTTCCATGTCAAAACGGCTCCAAAAGCGAGGAAATAAGACATACGTGAGGAGTGTCGTGAGAGTTCCGTTCCGCAGGGATGCGATGGTCAGTCGGCGTAATAAGCTATCAAAACGTTGAGTGAAGTAGCCCAAGCTAGCAATCGACAACGAACTTTTTGGTGTCTGCAAAGTCTGATCGTAGGGACCTGAATTTCCACACAAGGAGCACAGTGATGAGGAGATCAGCGACAGCGGCGCCGGATAACCAGACTATAGTGATGCGCTGTTATTCTATAATAGTCCGGAGGAGATGGTACTCACTGGTCACTTCGCGCACCAGAGAATCACGTCCCACGTAGGTTGGGTCATTGATCAAGTGGGAAGCGACCAAACAACCGCCCACCACGCCTGTCAAGACGAGAAGGACAATGATGGGGAGCCAGAACCACTGTCTCGTTCTGGAGGCTTGATGAGACAGAGGTTTCAAACGCGGGAAAAACTCACAAGGTGTAGATCATCTTGACCAGCCAGGCTTGAACAATCATGGCGGTAAGGGTCGTGCCCAGGACATAGGCAGGCATACACCAAGGTCTAGAGTTCTTTCAGCTTTGAAATTACGCTCATTCGGTTGAGCTTACTGTATTCCTAGATATGCTTCGTTTCCCCAATGCGTAACGGTGTAAAGATAGCATGACACCATGACCGCAACGGTGGTGACGGTATCAGAGACAAGGGCACCGAGAACGCAAGCCTTGTTGAACCATTGGTCTATAGAGTCAAATCCAATCAGATTTTGAGAGCGCAAGTCGAGAAATTCTACCTTTGGAATACTTGATGAAGTACCGGATCGTTTGAGTGATCTGTAGAGTGTAAAGGCTACAGTATTTGGTTAGCTTTGACCAAACGCGAGGGCGAAGCATTACGCCGTGTTGATCCAAGAGGCAATCAAGAGACATCCAATTGTCAAGTCAGGCTGGACCATTTTGGGGACAGAGGGGTGAACGGAATGAGGATGGATTCGAAGCCTTTCGCAGTTGCTTTTATTCGACCGAGCTAACCTCCTTGCACCGACGTTGCGCGATTGCCTCCCTTCGCCCTCGATCGAGCAGGGGTTTGAGAAAAGGTCTAGATGCTCCGAGGAATTTCGCTTTGGTTTGTCTGCCTCGGTTGACAGTATTCATGGGGAGACAGGTAAAGGGGCCGAACTGAGGAACCAAGTGTCCGTCGGACTGCAAACACAATCAAGACAATAGAGAGACAGAGGATAGGACGAGCCAGGAACGAAAGTGTTGCCGCAACACAAATGGTGAATTGGTAGCTTGCGATTGAGTAAGACATATAAAGTGCGATTCCAGTGGTACAAGAAAGATACATAAACAGAATTTCTGCTCTAATCAACCTGGAATAGATTGGCAAAAGTTAAAGCGACGAAGGAACACTTGCCAGATTTGCGTCGTGCCTTGCCTTTGCGTGAGGAAGACGGTGGAGCCTTCTCGTAGGCGTTCGTGGTGGGCGGTGGCTGCTCCAGTTGTGTGATCGTTGAATCAATTTCAGCGGCGCCATCAGAGTCGGAATGTGGGTGAGGATGGGATCGTTCGTGTTGTCGTTGCTCTAATCTCCGTCTCGCTGCGATTCTCGCATCATACTCCTCTCCTGACGAGTCGTCTCCAGAATCAGACGAGTCGCTTTCTGAGGAGGACTCGTCGAAATTGCGCGGTTTGTGGTAGATGCAGCAGACTTTGGGGTTGGTAAGCGACAAGGTATCACAAGTAGAAACACGCACTCTTGGATGATTTCCGTCCACAACCTTCGTTGTCAACAACATCGGCATCCCACACAACCCGTCTCCTGCCCGCTGACCGTGGTGGAAGCTCGCCACGGAGCCGCAATGTTCCGACCTCACTTGGTCCCTCTCCACTGTCGCTTACTTCTCCGGAACCATCCTCCTCCTGTGGCGGTGCGCTGGTAATCGTCATGGTGCGCGAGCCATCTCCCGGCGCGCTTGTGTTGGGTCGACGTCGAGTTGCTACAGCCATTGTGGTTGGCGAAGACAAGTAAAAGTCATGTGACTGTGACTCATACAAGACTGCAAGAGTTGTTCGTTCCAGTTATTTGCATTTATATACATCTGAATTACAGTACAGAGCAAAGCAGTAGCGACGCGTTATTGGGTATGGTGAGAGCGTGCGAAATGTGAATGACGAAGGTGAGTGAGTGCGGTAATTTTACACGAATGCGATGCTGAGGAATGCAACAATCCATCTCCAGGATGCAGTGAGTTTGTCGAAGGCGAAGGGCGAAAGAGTAGAGACACATATCATCCGTAGTAAATGCCTCGGGGAGTGGTCGATATGGGTTGGAAGTCCGTTCGCCCAGAGTCGATAAAGTGGGAGACAACCCGTGCCCAGTCGTCGCGGATGTCCCAAGTAATCTTGGAAGGCGGGTCGACTTCGACGGGCATGACCTGGCTGACAGAGCCGCATTGGATAATGATAACGGCGGTACCGATTCCACCAGCAGCGCGACACCGCTCTTCCCGACGTTGGATGTCTGCAATGACGAGTGGATCACAGATGTAGGTTCGGGGAACGATGTGGGTTGCGGCAATCGAGAATCTTCAAGAGGGAATCAGTAACGAGTAACGAACAACAAAATTTTCGAAACGCACCGACGATGAGACTCGGTATTTGCCGTTGGGCTGAGCTCAATAAGGAGGGCATTTTGCCGAATGTTGGCGGGAATGCGTTTGAGTTGGAGGGCCTGGAAGCCGGCCCAACCAAACAGGGCGGCATGGGCAGAAGTGAATTTGCGCAAGTTCTTCGCAACATTATCCCCTCCAAAACCGGATGCTTGCTCGACAGTATGTTGGCAGATCGCTTTGTGCGATGGCCAATGGACCTTTTGGCAGGCGGGTGAGCAGTATTGTGTTGTCATCTGTTAGTGATGAGCCAAAAAGGTCCAACCGGAAACAAATGGCGACATACGCATCCACCACATAGTCTAAACTTTGAAACAGTGGGAGTCTCGACGGCTCCGCATTGGTCGCAAATCCGGTAACCCCGTTGGCGCATGGAGGCATGAGTGGGAGGCGTGTGGTAGTTGGCGGCAGCAGGCTGGGCGTAGTAGGTGGCCATGGTGACTCGTCGGTGAGTAGTCGATTGGGTCGAATGACTCGTTGAAGATCGCCAATTGTCGGAATCGCTTTTATAACGAATCGAGTGCTGTCCATGGCGCACCGCTTGATCGAGTTGGAGAACAAAAAAAGAGGTTCCGTCAGCCGAGGTCCTTTTGTTTCAAGCTGGAGGAAGCCAATTTTGAGAGATGCCAGCATGGCAGAAGTTATAACCCCGCGCAGACGAAACAATACGAGGGAGAGACACAAAAGAAGAGATCACGTCACAAATTCCCTTTTTCAGAATTTCCACAATAAAGCTGCAGATCAGCATCCACGGGTCCTCCCAATCCAGGAATTTGAAAGCAGGCCGACTCGCACACCCGCCTCTCCACGCTAATTGTTCACTGCTTTCATCTCAGCCGCAAAAAAACAACGGCGCTTGCGCGGGTTTTGAAGGCTTTCGACGAGACACCCCTGTGTGGCGTCATACAGCACCTGTTGAGCTCTTCTCTTTCACACAAAGAGGCTATCCCTGGCTTGGGCGATACCGACAACACGTTCTACATCCTTTGTTGAGATATTGATCAAGTTTGCCGAACACTCAACGTCGCTAGCGCTTTGCTTTGCTGTCGTCAAGCGCTTCTTGCTCCAAATATCGCAAGCGCTCGTCTTGTTCTGGTCCAACTCGCTCTGTGATCAGCTCCCCAGTGTCCAACAATCACTCGGTAGCGAACCTGGCCTCTGATACCCGGCGATTACAAGCCAAAATAGCAAAAAACCGCCCAGCGACCATTGGCCAGGGCTTCAAACTAGGAGGATTAGACGCCACTAATTCGCATTCAACTAGCGCTCGAAGATGGAGACAAAACGGAATCTCTTCTTTCCTTCGTTTCATCGTTGTTTCGCCTATTCTTGGGTAAATTTCAAACAGCGGCCATTGCGGTTGGAAGATTGTCGACGTGTGTCCTGCCAGTGTGGATTGTGGTTCGATATACCTCCAAAAGATGCTATCATCGTCTGTAAACTGCTACCGTTTGTTGCTCCTAACTCGAAACTCGCGCGTGGACTGGCGATAGCCCAAACGTGTCCCAAAACTCGCTGGAATCGAGCACCCGTCCAAGATCCGCTTTGTCTCGGGGTAAAACTTTCACTCCTGCCTCCTTCATCAGCTCGCGGACCCATATTGCTGGCGCATCTTCCGGTGGCGCCGAGCCCGCCCTCCACGCACTTGCCAGGTCCCACCAATCATAGACACGCCCGTCAGTGAGAAGCCACCGTTCTCCGGCGGCCGTTGCAAAATCGTTATGGATGGCCAGAATGGCACGCGCAACGTCTTCCCCGTGTATCAGATGTAGACTTCCCTGTAGTACATTTTTTTAGCTTTTTGCCTTCGAGTATGCATTCTCACCTTGGCTGCCAAAGCCTCTTTGGTAGATGCAACACGCCCGAGCCAGTTCCGTGGTATGCGTTGGCCGCCCCAGAGACCAGCAAGATTGAGCACAGTCGTGGATGCAACACCCCTCGAATGCAGGCCAAGAAGCTCCTCCTCTGCGTTGGCGCGGCCCGTGAGCGAAATTGGTGAGTGTCGGTCCAGAATGTTAGTGGTTACAGCGGAGGCGACAGAATTCTGGGCGGGTACAATCAATGAAATACGTGCTCCAAAGGTTCAATCCAACTTGCAGAGTCCCAGATACTGGTCGCGCCGAGTTGGATGAACCCCGTCGCTGGTGTCAATGTGTGCCTTGTGGCGAGGTAGAGCTTCACAAGTCGTTCCGACGCGCCGCGAAGCGTTATAGGAAACGTAATCAAGACAGTCGTTGCGTCCGGCAGGAGTCGGTAGGGTTCTTCGTCTTCCGAGTCAGGCTGAAATTCGAATTTTATCGTCGAAGAGGCCCCGCTGCGCGTCGTGGACGCGAAAGTGATGTCTGATTTCTTGCAGAGAGGCACAAGGAACGTCGATGTCCATCCCGCTCCGAGAATAAGAATGTCAACAGACGACATCGGTGTTCGAGTCGAAACAATCCGACTGCTGAGCAAATCATGATACAATCGATCAATTGATCAAACACGGTCACGAGTGCCAACAACATGAATAATCTCTGACCAGAAACCAAGTCAACAACGCAATCATGTTCTGAGTGCAATGAGCTTCGGCTTCGCCGTTCGAAGCCTTTCTGCTGCAGCCGATATCACCTGGCCAACGTGTAAAAAATTGGAAACTGTTTTGCCATCGACAACTGCTGCAGCCCGGACCATCGACTCGAGGCCAAGATTCCAAACGAGGGTAAGTCCTTTTAGACTACTGTGAGTACCACCAACGGGAAGTATCACAAAAATCAGGCCCAAAGCCGTGTCAGAAACAGCTATGCTGCTAGACCTACTAGTAGCAGGTGGCCAGCCGGAGGGCGGATGGGAGAGAGTCATGTTCAATGGGAAATTCACATAATTGAATGATGCACGGAGTGGGAGTGTCCGCTTTTGCGTCCAGCCTCGAGTCAGATCTTCCAATCTGTCTATTAAATCATGCTGCAGGACCCGTGAAGCGAAATGCAGGTCTTCTTCAGTTAGACTGTGACTTGGCTGTGTTGAACTTGAAGCTGTGTCATGGAACGTCAGAAGACCAGGTGATAATGTGCATCAATACGCTGACCAATCGTAATAGTAGGGGAAGGTGTACACTTTGTGCCATGCTTGCGCGTCCAATCGATCCTCTGACATTCTTTAGAGCAGTAATTCACTGTTAAACAAACTCCACATCGCAGTATCGCGGGTTTGACACACTTATGCATTGTCAGCGGTGAATCATCTCATAATCTGGAGTAGGACCTCATATAAGTTGCAAGAATCTTGACGGAGCTCGCTGGAAATTGCATGGTCACGTCGCTTTTGAGCATCATGTAACAAATCTTGCCAGATGGTGGCAGATGGTGAGGTGGGCGATGGAAATCTGTCTTGATGCCAGGGATTGGAAAGGGCTCCTTGAACAAGGTCAAGTACGTTCTCCATTCGGCGCAAGACTGAGAGATACACAAAAAATTTAGGCAAGTATTGTCGTAGTAGTCGGCCCTGGAAGAGTATAGGCGAGTCGCCTATACTCTTCCAGGGCTGGTGAGGCTGGAGAGAGCGAGTCTATCCAAGCACAAGCACGAAACAAACCAATACCCAGTCCTTGCTCCAAAGCTAGGACCAAGCCCCAGATGCCATTTGAGAACAGGTAATTGTTGAGGAATACACAAATATGCTCAATAGCTGTTCCGACTAGTCCGGCCGTGGTGCTATTGAATGGTTTTGATGTCAACCAGACGAGTGATTCCACGACCAGGATAGGCGAGCGCTTCTTAAGTAATGACTGCTGGAGGGACGTTGAATGGAAAGCAATTAGATTGTCCAAGTTTGCTTGAAAGGTGCCTATGACCGCAGAATCAGATGCATCCAAGTGCAACGCCTTCAAGCTCTTGTTGAAATGGCCCATTGCTGCCGCCGCACTTTCACCTGAGCTATAATCAACAATAGCAAGAAAGGCGTCGAGCTTTGGAGAAGGTAATGTAAAAAGGTAGAGCGGGAGGAGAGTGGCGGCACTGGGGGGATTTCCGTGGGGGAAAAGCTCTTTGAGTTGCAGATAGAATTCATGAGCCTCAGTTTGGCCATTTACTTCGAATTTCCATATGGACGCGACGAGATATAGTGCTGTTGGCGTATTTTGAACCAAAGTTCGAAGGGACTCGGCATGTGCGTAGGTCTGGAGAAGCGACACAATAGTTATGAATGCGTGTCCCGGGGATCCAACCTGCCGAGCAAGCCTCGGATTGTCATCGTCCGTTGCGACAATAGCGCGAGCGTAGAGAAGCAACGCGGACGACGTCAATGGCCAACATGAGGCCAAAGTTTTAGTAACATTGTCTGGTATGAAAACAATGTGTGTTGGAGAACTATTGCTTAAGCGACGAATAATGGTGAGTATGATGGTCAATGCGGCACCAGAAACCTCAGGCTGTGCTTGTCCAGGAGGGGTCACGGTGCCGCTGCTAACTGGGAGTTCAATCGAGATTGGGACAGGTGCGGCAATTGTCGGGGCCAGGTATGGCACAGTCGCCTCGATGATAAGATTTTCAGTCAGCTCTGATTTGGGGCATGCTTCTATGGCCTCTATCATGTCGAGCAGCACCTGGAGAGCATCCGGATTCGTCATTTGAGGCTTGGCTTGGAGTCGCTGGAGGAGGCGAAGCTGCAATGTTTTAGCATGACAGTGGCTCTTTTGGTTTTTGAATCAATCACAATGTGCGAAGCGTTGGCCATTGGGGTTGTCGTTCGAGGCAAGAGAAAATGATTACGTTGTCAATGTTCCACGGTCACGGGATCTATGACGAGGAACAAATTGGAATCTGGATGGTATTTACATGGGCACAGAAAGTGTGATGAAGAGGATTGTCAGCTATACTAGTGCCCGAAGTGATACTAGGTCCATGATGTCAACCATCTTAAGGAAAGAATTTGCTTCTCCAACATCACGACAGCTTGTTGCTCTGAGCGACCCTTGTTGGGTCATGAAGTCAGCGATAAGTGCCAAGTGCCGATAGTCAACATGGGATCCATCAAGCTCCACAACAGTACGCAATTCCTTCAATATGGTAGCACGCGCAGCTTCAATTCCCAGAACTTTGCAGACTTCGACAATGTTGTTGGAGTAGGTCCGCTTGAAGTCGACACCCTCTACGGGCAAAACATCTTTGAAGTTACTTCCCTCCGTTTCTATTATCCACTCCGCTCTGGGCCGCCAAACTAGCCTGCCATCCACTTCAAGCTTGATCAAGTCGGACTGCATCAAAAAAAGCCTTGTGTATCCCTTTGACGCCGCATAGACGAATGGAGTCAAGCATGGTGTTGCCCAAATGTTGGAGAAGTATGTCTTCTTCTTCCTCTTCATATCCTCCCACGATCCGACACCGAATGACGAGTTGGTCCGCATTGTCTTCACTCCAAAGCACAGACATGTCCGACTTGAAGGTCTGAGCAATACAACTCGCAACGTACGCCATCGTAAACCTGCCAACCATCTTCATCCGATTCAGTTCAAGACGCAGGAGCCAAGGGGAGTGCAGATGCAGTGTAGACTCGAGTTCTGCATCCGGAATGGCAAAGAAATCACTGACAAAGCTGTAGTCTTCCGCAATAATCGTTGAGGTTGGGTCAGGGTCATAGTATACCTCCATAGCAGACACGACATCGCGTAGATGCACAGACTCGAGTTGGTGGAAGACACCCAGAGCAAGCACCCGCTCTTTCGACAATTCAGGGTCGAGATAGACTGTGAGGGAAGGTGTCTTGATGTCATGTACCACGTTGAAAATCTCCTCGAGACGAGGAATGCCGAGTAGAATTGGCTTCAACGATGCACCAGGAACATATGTCGGCTCTGTGCCCATTTGAGGTGCTCCGATTGAGCATGCTGCAAGGATACCGCACATCTCGCCAGGACTGACAACAGAGCGATAAAATCTGGACTCGACCTCCGCCAATATCCAGTCGAATGCCGCCCGAGTTAAACACAGTTCCTCTACAATACGATGACTCATGAGCATCGACCGAAAACATATGCAAAATAGCAAAACGGCATCCTCGTTCGCTGCTCTACTCAACAAGCCTTCCCCGTGAACGACAACTAGTCGCTCGCTCAATGCCTTGACGGTGTCGATGACATAGACCGGTTCGAGGTCACTAGGTTCTCGCGAGTTGATGCGGAAAGTGCGAATGGCGTTGTTGATAATGCGTTCTACATTGACTGGAAGGTAGAAATATGCCGTCTGATTTGCCTGGAGTACGACGTTTTGCAAGAACTGTCGATCTTCTAGCAGCTGCTGGTATTCTTCGTCATATTTGGCCTCTTCTGGCGCGAAAGCAGTGTTATGGGAACTGAGCGCTATTGTAGGAACGCGATGGGCGTCGGAGAAGTCCGAATCACTCGAAGCAAACGTAGGAAGCTCTTGTCGCTCAACAAAGACAACGTCCATGCCATCATCTCCGTATAGGAACTGAAAAACATTGCCCGCCGAGTCCCGCACCGTCCCATCATAACAGACAACCAAGTCCTCGAGGGCATCCACCAACTGTCGCTTCATATGCAACATCTCCGCCGTTCTGTTGGCTTGACCGATCGAACTGCTGCGACTGGCCATTGCAGAGAAGAAGAATTCGTGAGGCTTGAGACCATTAATATACGAACTTTCCACGAAACCACGTGAAGCTGGCCCGAAGTCGTCCTGACTAAAATGCGGCAATGTCCGATTCTTGAACCCGAAAGGGATTCGCTCATGACTCTGCTTCCACTCTGGAATCTGTTGGCTCTCAATCCATTGTTGACCAACGCAAACCGACATCCGCGCAATGTCAATGAAGGATCTAGTCGAGTTGGTAGCAGCCATTTGTTTGATATTGTTGGTCGCCTTCATTTGATGCTGTGCGAATGACCCAGAGGAATCGCGGGCCACAATGAGGCGTGAATGAACCAATTGCTCGAAGGACTCCCGGATTGTCATGCCAGGAGCTCGCCGCAATCGATCGTGCGTGGTGTCCTCAATGTCCTGGGAAACATCATTTTTACAGTCTTCAACCCTCCGAGTAACCACGACCATGGTGTCGTTATCAAGAATGAGGTCGCCAATGCCAACGGTGAACCCGGTGTGGAAGAGCCAATGGTTGGTGACCAGCTGCAGACCGAAAAGTAGCTCCCTAGCAGCATCGGGGCCCTTCTCGAGAAAGACGACACCAAAGAGCCTACTATGTGACTTCGCATCGAATGTGCCCCAGAGCATGTTCCCGTCTTCAATCAGCAGGCCGACATCGAGTAGCTCGGGACTGTTTCTGTTGCTATCATAACTGGGAGAGTAGAAATCGATGCCGCGGGGAATGATCATGCTAAGTATCTGCTTGCCGGACCAAAGTAGCTTGGGTTTGACGATAGCGGGAACGGGGATAGTACCGTTCCAATGAGGAATCCACAGCACTAGGTTTTGGACCTCGCTCCAGTCGAGGAAGGTGTCACGAAGGGCAAGCTTTCGAAGGCCCAAGATAGTATCCCGCCACGTTGCGATGAATGCCTTGTTGCTTCGAGCCAGCTATATGTCAGAATCAGCTTATTGGTTTCCGAGGGTTAAGTGTTTTAACCTGATATGGACGCGGAGCCCACAAGTTTTGAGTTAGTTCGGCTCGCGACTTAATGTCTTGCGGGATACTGTCGAATGATCAATTTAAAATACAAAAAAATGGCAAGGCGCTGACTGCATCTCAATTTCCATTTCCTCCGCGTCAAGGCAGCCCAGTAGCGATAATGTTCTAAGCGTTTGGGGTAAGTACCAAAATGAAAGCCATCGCCAATACCATACACAGGGTTCAGATGGAACGCTGCAAAGATCATTACCGAATGTCACGCAAATAAGGCTGAGACAACACAAACTGGAAAAGGGCAAGAGTTTGACTTTGTAGCTTTGCAAATGTTCCCTATGACGACAGTGGCCAAATAGAACAAAGCTAATGCAAACATCAATGGGAAATAAGCAAGCAAAGCAGACGATGCTCACTCTCCATCCTTCAAATATCGCTCGACAACCCAACCAATGTCAACGACCACCATATCGCGCCTTGGATCGATACGTTCACCTGTCTCCCTGACAAGACAGCAAGCCCCGCCATTGCCGACGACATTTCGCAGTTGGCCAATATTAAATTGCGTGACTAAAGCAAAGATGAGCTCCAAGAACGACTCTATCTCCCAGAAAGCGAACCGCGTTCTGGATACATTATATCCATGGCAATATTTGAAGGAACGCCAAGTTCGTTTAGTTCGAGATTGGGGTCGGAAGTTATGACCGGCGGAGCCGCAAATTCAACCCTCTTCATATCGCTCTGTCCATTGGCAATCACACTCGGGGTCCGCAAGCTCATATGAGAAGAGCGCAAAGTTTGGGGAACCCTGACAAGTTCGTTGTCCAAGTAGGTGGTGACATGAAACTGGAATCAGGTGAGTGATTGTTATGCAGCAGGAATTATCTACGGACTTGAAGGAGTTTCTCCAACTGCTCTGTAGAAAGGCCGTCTTTCTCGCATCGTCTCAACTCGGCAGACACCTCAACAATCGCAGAAAGCTTGCGCGCCAAACGATCATGGCCTTCGTCGACTTGTGATGGTGGAACCGGTAATACGGTCAAAACCATCCATTCGGGGCGAGTACCCGACAACCCCAACAGGTGTAGGTCGTCATTTGATATCTTCTGCAAGATCTGGCGAACTTGTGAGGGAGAAATGGCGCGTGGTTCCTTGGTGTTCCTTGGTAAGATAAATGGCAAGAAGGAAAATGTACACATTAGCTCACATTATCCGTCTGGCTCATCCAGAGTTGGAGGCCCCGTTTCAAAATTCGTGGCTGTGGGTGTGCACATCCGCTCTCGTCATACCCCGCCTCACAGAGCATGTTGGTCTTGCAGTGTCGCCAAACAGCGTTCCTGCGGCGTCTGGGGTCGCCAATTCGTTCAATCTCCTCCGCAAGGGTCTTTTTGACAAGTTGATACAGCAAGAGAAGAAGAAGAAGAACTCACAACGTCTAGTTTGAGCTTGGCGCAGTTCAAGCAGATGCTCTCCAAAATCTTCTTCACCATGAAAAGGAAGCCTGAGACTCGGAGGTTATCAACCTGAGCCAGCCACAAAAACGGTTGAAACACACCAGGATGGAAAACAGGACGCGCGAGCTGGATGTGGCCGAAATGGCCCGGACAATGTGGTCGTTTCCGGCCACAGCTGTGGCACGCGGAGTCATAGTTTGCGGGGCCCAAACGGGGATCACCAGCCTCGTCTATATCTTCCGCATGCTCAATTTCGACGACAGAGTGCGCCTTCTGCAGAGATGTCAGACAGCGGAAGAGACCGAAGAAACCGCACAATTTCCTCTGGGGAGAGAAGTTCGAGGCAGACTTCGCGAATGTTGCGAATGGGAAGTGGGAAGGTCATGGCTTAAAAAGAAGAACAGAGGACTCCGCGCAGACAAACGGCTGGCAAAGTGAAAAACATAAAGGGGGAGAAATGGTCTAGCGCTCACAACATAACTGCTCCCATGAATACAAAATACCCAGCGCTCTGTTGCGAGCAATCAACGAGCAATGGGCGGTGATATCAGACTTCGTTGACATAGCAGTCACGTCGTCACAGCAGTCACGGGTCATCACATTAAAAGCATCAGATCAGTCAAGAGCTACCTAGTACTCAGTAGATACGTGGTCTATCGCATTCCCCATCGCCTCTAAATACATGCCCCAGTCCGACACTCTGAAAAGAATTTCAGTTAACTTCTCAGGCATTGGTTGCACAACTCACTCAAAGGTGCTCGGCGCCTGCGACCAAAAGGCGACCGTGTTCATATCAACGTCCATAGCGAAAAGGTCGGCATAGGAAGAGCTGGATGTAGGTTGCTGGTGTGCCTGCTCCTCCCCGGGGCCAAACGAGTATTGCAGCATCAGCTCTACCTCGTCGACAGGCTGTGATGGCGTGAAACCGGAATGAGTGTGGTCGGAATTTGAGTTTGACCACTGCGCAACAGCGTCGTTGACCATCTGACTGTCGACTGCTGGTCCGGAAAATGGGGACGGCGAGGCGCTTCGACCTATTTGAGTGGGGCCTGAGGGCGGGGGGTACGGAAAAGCGGCGGTGACAGCGTTTTCGATATCAACATTCAGCAGTTGCTGAAGTGTGTCTCTATTTCAGAGTTGTCGGCGAGCAAGTTGCGAGGACTAAGATACGAACGCTAATGGTGCAGCGCTTGGCCATTGAGCTGCATGAGCCTCAAGAGCTTCCAAACAACGGCGAACATCGATGAGGTCAAGCATTTGCTGGTCGCTTGAGCCGCCCTTGGCAACGACGGATCCAGAGGTCTGTTTGGTATTGCGTGCCATGCCCCAGACATTGAGCAGAAGCCCAACTCCCGCCGTAAAGGCAGGAGTCTATGGAATGAATGTCAGGCACAGTTACTGTAGAAAGGACAAGACGAACGGGGCCACAGATGAGTGGGTGTCCGGGACGAAGTCTGGTATAGACATCGACGAGACGAGCAATTGCTCGACCAGCATTGTTACAAACCGAAAGCGAGGGGAAAGTCTGGAAGCAACGAATGAGTGACAACATCATATGGGTTCGTATTCTTCACTCTCGGTTTAGCGCCAGGTCCTTTGGCATGATGCGATGCTGGGATGAATGGCCGATGGATGAGGATTTGGGCGAAATAAAACATGCAGTAGAGAGCCGCTGACTGATCGAGGAATAGCGCGTTTGGATCGACAGACTCCTGAGGGTTCCAGCGAACTGGGACTACTCAGAGAAGCGGAGCGTGTTTCTACGGCACTTACGATGCTCCGGAATCGAGTCAAACCACGAGTTGAGTGCAGAATCAAATTCGACAACGAGCGGCTCCTCCCAATCATCATCGTTAAGCCCTATTAGCCGTTTATTTCGGTTTGTTGTATACTGCGAGAATTTAAATACTTATTCATACGGAAACTGAGGCTTACCAATATCTTGAGCGTGTACGACAGTATCCTCTGGAGTTTAAGATCCAATATGAAGAAATCCACGGAAGAGGGAAGCTCAGGCGGTTGCGCAAAGCCTCCCTCCGTCCAGTACTGGTCATCGCATCGGATAGGAAGACCGAGATCCGTTCTATGTGGGTTGAACTTGAGACGGATTCTTGGTTGGCTGCATAGACATACTCGTGAAGTGGAATGGCGATTGACCGCCCGAGAGCAGCACTGAATCGTGTGTCCATTAGGGTAAGGAGCCTGTTAAAGACATTAGGAAAAACCGTAAGTGCAAATGCTAACCGACCAATAAGCTCGCTTCTCCAGTTCCATTTCAGGAGAAATCGGACCGCGATGCATGCGTTCCCTGTGGGAACCCATGTCTTGCGCAAGACGCATACCTGCCCCGACGACAGACCAACAAGCGCGAGGGCTGGATGTCCGCTCAAGATACAGAGTAGCAAGCTGCGGCCAAAATAAGCATGGGGGAGCACACCGCTGAGAAGAACCAACACAATAGGACTGTAACGTGGACAGCGTTGGCTGGCTGAAGACCACAAGATCAACTTGGTCGAACCAAATATGGCCATTGGGTGAAGTTGGCGGCAGGCCTCGCACGCGAGGATCAGAAGAGTACTGAGCTCCAAGGGCACAGACTAGTAACACGACTGCTCCAAATTCTACGTCGTCTTTTAGATGACCACCTCTTGCGATGCTTTGTTCAAACGTGTCGCGATGGAGCAGCGGATAAAAGCTATTGACATTCACAAAGTATAAGGTGACGAGGCTGACAAGGAGGTTGTCTTCCGGAAATATGTATGGTTTCGCCGGGTTGTATGAATTCCACTATTTCAACATAAGCCACTATTAGAAATCAAGTGAGGCATCGCACTGGTCTCATTGCCCAAGGCTTTTCAGATACTTGACGCCTCGGCGCGCACCCCTGGCCACAGCCTTTCAAATCCATAATAGACTTGACCAACATCGCTTGGCTCGACTTCCCGTGGAACCCTTTGGATATTTTGAGGTGGCTAAGCTTGTGAGAGATGTCGGTGAAAGCAAGGTCATCGGAATGGGGAACCGGAAAGGGACTATTGAGGTTTCTAATCACTTCGGTGACAACCTGCACCCCAGGACCAATGGATTTCTTGTAGTCTGACGGTTTTGGTGGGGGAGGAAGGGCAGGTGGCTGAGATTGTTGCTGTTGTAGCAGGGATTCGACGGTTCTAAGTCGTGATTCCAATGATTTCACGTAGCTTTGAAGGTCGTTAGAGGATTCGTTGCTGAGAACTGCTGTACTTTACTTGCTTGACGTTCGTTTCTATCGAAATGACAACAAAATGAGCATACAGAAAGGGTAAGTATTGTCACATACTGCAGCTTTCTCCTCGTATGAGCAGGTGAAGTCGTACTTCAAGCAGCGGGAGCATGGCTCCTCTCCGTCACCTAGAAGTACGCGTTCAGTGTTGACTTGTGGGGGAGTCGCATCGTACATCGACCTATGTTCTTCTGTTAGTAAATATGAGGATGAGGGGAAATGCCCGCGCACGCTTCTTTTTCCTACACATGTCGCATGGCCTATGTGCTTTCTTGCGCTTTGTGGCTTGTCCTTCGTCGCCAGAAGACATCGTTTGTTGTTGAGGCCCGGGTGTGACTACACGTCTCCGCACGGCAATCAAAATCATGACGATCACATCACATTTAACAGGCGGATCAATCCTCAAGCCGAACCCGGGCCTTTGGACTAAAATTCTTTCACAAAGGAGCAACCGGTCTATTATCCCTCAATAAATGTGCAAGGCCACGATTTACTTATCCAAGAACAAGCTGCGGACTCGGGCTGGACCACTCCCAATAAAAAATTGTCACAAGCATTGGTTGAGGGACGTGCCGCTATCATCCGGAGCAATATGCTTAACTTGCAACACGATAGCATGTTCATGAACATCGAGGCTGCCATGCATTTGGTCAAGACCGAGTACACAGAGGCGCGCGAGCTGTTTGCGACTATTGTGCAAAAAACTTCGTCGACATTTAGCCCTGGGACCTATGCGTATGCTGTCATCAACCTTGCACTGGTTGATGTGGAGATAGGGGGGACTCAAACTCGATTCACACACACATTGAGGTTGCTCGCGAGACATTCCGTCTCTCGCATAGCATTCGAGGTCTGCAGATTGCGGACATTTCCCAAGCTTACCTCGACCTTTGTAACGGCGATAAATCCCACGCGCTAATTCGGCTGTTCGGCGAACTTCGCGGCAACGATGACGAATGTTCTTTCATGTGTCTCACAAGACTCGCCGATCCAACCAATCGTCTTCATGACTTGGAAGATGCAATCTGCTGGGCCACCGTTTTCTTCGCATTCGCTCAGCGCAAAACTAATCCATTGGCGATAAACCAAGCTCTTCGGTGTCTTGGTGAAGTCGCCATATGGTCTGGAGAACGAGCCGAGGGCCTGATTCTGCTTGAACTTGCTTTGGAGGGGTTTACCGCGATGGACGTCCATCACAGTAAAGCACAGTGCCTGGAATCGCTGGCCAGGCTCCAGCTTCGGATGGGTCATCGTGTGAAGGCAGAACAATTATGGCGGACTGCGCGACCGCTCTTCGAGCGCTGCCAACAGCTTGAGCAAGTAGAGCACATTGACCATGCGCTTTTACAATTCGTGTCATTTGATGAGGAGAGAGTTAAGCGTGAAGCTTGAGTAGCACCTGGTTAATACTCAGTTTCTCTCCAACAAATTTGTCACCACCGCCTGTAATTGCATTCATCGGATTTCATCCACTAAAGCGAGACACATTTCACAGCCCTAATGCATCACACTTTTGCTGCACCTTCGCCAGTTGGTGCTCTGTTCATTCAAGTCAGCAGCAGGCCTCTATCCAGAGGCAAACACTCACGAGCAAGCGGGCTGTCCAGCGAGAACAACGTCATTGTCGTGAGCCCATTCTGCAAATCCACCAACAACGCAGCCTCCTCTTGGTTGTAAGCCATATCAACGTTCAACGTCGTGCCCAGGCTTGCGCGGAAAAACCGCGTCCTCTCAATCTCCCGCAGCACGACCTGACATGCGAGCAGCAATAGGGTGCCTACGGTCGGTCCGACGGAGAGGAAGTCCGGAATGTTGGCGTCTCCAAAATTGGCGAGAATGCGACGGGCGGCGGTAATACTAGGGCCGGTATCGCCAGTGTCGTTCTTGTGAAGCTGGATGACGGCGGCATTGAGCAGCCCATGGGCGAGTGACAGGACGCGGGCCTCGTCGCTCCGTTGATAGAATGAGGAGATCGGTGGTATTTGAGTGCCCAGTTGTTGTATACGAGTCTCCAGCCACGTGGTTGCGCTAGCGTGAGCGGCTGCTGCTTGTGGTTGCATTCCTAAAAGACATGACTATACTGACACAGAACACCAAGTATGCTTGCCTGGCGACCACCTCCGCGAGAGCTGGACAGCACGCTGATGCAACACAGACGCTTGGACTTGCAGCGAAATGGGCGACCCAGGGCCCGTTATTCCATGGGTAACGAAGCCTTGGACCGTATCGCTGCCTCGAAGATCGGGCGGAAACATTCCCAACTCGTACTCGGTCAGCTCCAGAGGCCATGGCGTGTCGATGCTCAAGCCAGGAGATTCTAGTATTCCGAAATTGGCGCCGGGAGTCCGCACAGTCATAAGCAGGGTGTTTTGGACAAAAACGAGCATCCAAAAGCCGCGAATCCGTTCTCCTTCCTCGATTGAATCGCGCGGTGGGTCGGGCAGCGTCTCGGGATGGAATGAGGACGAGTCCATCAATGGCGGTGAAGGGGAGCGCGAAGATCGAATTCTGTGGAGGTGGTAGCCTAAAGCCAAGGTTATTGCGCCATTTGTGTGGAATTCAGCTTCGAGAAACTGCTTGGTGTTGAGGAAGTACGTTGCAAGCAAGATATGAGCTTGGATCGTATGGATACGATGCACCGATGGAACCGTGTCTGACAGTTCTGTGGCGATATGTTGCTGGGCACGCCGCGTAAATATGGCTTCGTAGGAGATCATGGGCTCTGATCGTGAAAGATGAATACCCCAGAGGTAGACGGCACATAGTACTGCTGGCGATGGACGAGCTGGGTGACCGAGAGGCAATTGAAGCAGAGCAGCCGCGCGAAAGCGCCCAATATGCATAAAAAACCCGAATTGAACGGCATGAGGGAAAAAGGCATCCAGCAACGTTTGTAGCAGTTCAGGCGGGGGTTCTTGAACACCAAGCAAAGAGTCATCGTCTCGCGATGACCTGAAACCAGAGGCATCTAGATAGTTATGAAGACAAGGAGAGGAGGCGAGTAGAAAGATACCTGATATGGCACTGGAATCTGCACTCGGGCTCGGTGGTAGATTCGATGGACCAGCGAGGCCAGGTGGGAGAATGAACGATGACGACGAGGCATGACCGGGATTCTCTAATTCAGTTACTCGAGCACGGAGACGCGCTATCGTTTCGTGAAGCTCTTTGGTGCGCGAGGTTGCGTCTGTGAATTCGCATTCATCGTCCTTTGGAACTCTGACACATGGCCCGCAGACTGGTCGCTAATAAAAAGGTGTCAACTCTTGAATAGTAGTAGCTACTAACCACATACCACCCCATCACATCTCTGTGGTCAAAGCAAAATTGTGAGCAACTTTAGGAAGTTATTTTCGATGCTCACAATTTTTAAATGCCTTTTAGACTTGCTCAGCCATCTGATTATTCGAATTGTGGAAAAAGCGCACCTGCAGTTCAAACACGCCTTCCCGCGGCGTAATGGCTCGGTTCGGGGCTTGGGCGGTCGCTTTCGTGGTGGTTTCTTTGGTGGCTCAGCACTTGTCGAAGACATTTGAGGAATTTGTACTGACCCAACTCCTGACTGTGCTCCATATTATACGGTTCAGATAACCTCCCTCAGCGTTGTTTGGTTGGAAGAGCGCAGCGACGATGGTAGTCGGAGGCAAACCGGGATCGACGGTGATTGACACACTCTAAGCCGTTCTTGCCGTGTACCCACAAACAAACCGGCCTGGATTGTGTCGTTGGTAAGCTCAAGGACGATGAGGGCTATGCTTTGACCGACACTGAACTGTACGCGAAATGGTATAGGTGAGCCTGAGGAGAAGGAATGCAACCGAAAAAGTTGTCTAGACAACTTGTTCTCGCAACAAGTGGATTGAATTCAAGCAGTTGTCTTCCCACAAAAATAGCTACACGAAGGTGTATTAAACTTCCCAAGCAATATCATTTTCGAAAGACGAAGAATGCTCTTGTCAAGCCGACATGGAAACTCCGTCTCTTCTGTCTAATTGCTTGAGATGTCCCTCCAGTAAGAAATTCGCTCTGGTTGTTCACTGGCAGAGCTTCAAATCCATGGCCGTGGCCCAACGCTCCTGGCGTTGATTGGCGTCTCCGTGGCGAAGATGAATTTCCGCCATTGTTTCATGGGCCCTGCTCTGGTGCATATCCATTGGAGTAGACCCGTCGAATACGACGACTAGTATAGCTAGTACGAGCATATTTGCAGCGGTTTCATCGTACCCTTGCACGTCCGCCGCGAAACAACGCAAAACTTGATTGATTCATTGAATGCCAACTGAAGAACCCCTGTCACTCGCGCCGAGACTTCAAGTTCATACGTAGTGAACAAGAGAGGAAGCAGAATGCGCGAGCAGTGAAATTGCTCAAGCCTTTGGAATATTCGCGCTTTCTCGAAAATTTCCAATTGCCGTTAGCGCCATTGAACGCACACGACTGCCACTGATTTCGGCATTAGTACTCTCCATCAAATGCCCTAGTCGCCTCCGCAAGTCGTATGCATTTGCTATAATTCCCATGAAATCACTCCACTAGAGCCAACCCGCCAAGTGCACGTGCGTGAGGGACCATTTCATCGCATTTGATGGCCAACGCAAGTGCCCGTTGGAAGAACAATCTCGCTTTGGCGAAGTCACGTGCGCAATCAAGATAATACTCCCCGATAGCATTGTAGAATCCGGCTACAAAAAGATTAGAGAGGTCAATTCCAGCGAAGATTTATTCTGACCCTCTGTTCTAGGACGGTTCAACCCTGATAAGAGCATCATTGCAATGTCGATTACGGTTTCTGGATCGGATAATTTGACAAATTGCCAACTGTGGAGCACTTCCATATAGTAGTGCAAAGAGAGGTAATTGTCGGCCAACGAGGGAAGAATGGCGGGTATTCGAGAAAAGAGAGGAGAGATTCCTCTTGATGTCATTCGACTCAAATAATTGAGCCGTAGAATCGTTCGGATAGTGATTTTCAGATCTTCGGGGTCATTGTCCAGCCCATGGAGAAGTAGTTGGTGAATGTTCCCATATTCGCTGTGAGGCGAGGGTAAAGATCGGTGGCCAGAGTACGACGATGAACGAACGCATCCCATAGTTCGGCGAGATTGTGGAAGTGGAGGCGGAGGCGACGTAAGGTAAGAGGCATTGGCGGATGAGCAACTTGGATGTACTCTCGAATGGGAGCCAATACACGCAGCCTTCCTGAAGGATCTGCATAGGCGAGCGAGGTTCGAATCAATATTGTCTTGTGAGAAAGGACATCAGGAATGGGCAGCCGACTTGGAAGAAGATCGACATCAAAAATCCCGTCAGGTAAGAGTGACACAAGACTGAGAAGCTCTTGTGCGTGAGGAGATGATTTGATTCGTGGACTGGACAGAGAGATGCGGATTGAAGTCTCGATATTGGACCGCTTGTCGTTTCCGTCAATCAAAGTTGCTGTCCTCTCTACCTTGAAACGCTCAAGGGTTTTCGCGGAGCCTTCAACTGCGGCAACTCGAGCGACAAGGTTGACCGCAAGGGGGACATTGTCCGTCAGGGCGAGAAGATCATCGACAATTCCGGGTTCATCCTGTTCATCAACAATGTCGAGGAAAGTTTGGCGGGCAGCAACGTCTGACAACGGTTCGAGAGGAGGCATGAATGGCCGCGTCCAAAGCGTCTTGCTAGGCCGCTCGGTACCTCGCATGGTCATCTGTCCAAGGTTGTTAGCATATGACCAAGTTCAGCGAGCCATAGGCATACCACAAGGGCCACATGTGGAATATCAGACAAGGCAGAGACAAAATCCTCAACGCCGGGTCTATTTTCTTGGGGTTCCCATGGTGTTTCGAAGTTGTCCAAGACGAGCAAGGATGACGATTTCTCCGTAAGGTGCCGTATGATTCCCTGGCGCGTCCGGAATGCGGGTTCAAGGCCAAGGTTAATGCCAATGATCGTGGTAAGATGGGAAACGGTGAATGCGGAGTCGCGGCATGGAATGAAATGTCGGTTTGGATATTTCTTCGCTATGTCCTCGTCATGGAGCGTGGCGACAGCAAGACTCGTCTTTCCCGTTCCACCGGGGCCCAGGATGGCCACTCGTGCAGCTTGAGTCAAAAGCAGATGGATCAATTGGCGGAGTTCGCGTTCACGGCCATTGAAGAGCTGTGGAACTGGTGGTAATAATGACAGTGACCCGGGAATATGATCACATGACCACCGCCTTCCGATTTCGCGGTCAAGGCAGCAGAGAGAAATGCAAATCATATATACACATGTTGAATGAGTGTAGAGTGGGTGTGCGTACCATGCTGGATAAAAGGGAAAGAAAAGGGGAAAGAAATGAAGGTAGGAAACTAGGTCAAGTAGGGGCTTAGTAAGTACGTAGGTATGGAAAACCCGATACACAGAGAGAGGAACAACAGCCGCAGGTCTAATACGTAGGTAGCAACAAGCAGCACGATACATATGCGCGAGAGAAAGAGAGGGAGAGACGGGATATATACGTAGCCTCTAATCGTATACCATCGGGAAGGAATATATTACCAGGGCGTGCTCAGTTGGATGAGGCGAAGCCTGAGTCGCTGACAGCGTCGGGCTTGGCCCCTTCTATGCGTACAGTGGCGAAGTAAGGGTTTGCCATCGCTTCTTTGGCAGTGAATCGCTCGCGTGGATCGAATCGTAAGAGCCTGTCGAGAAGATTGACGGCTTCAGGAAGGGCGAGAGGCTGGTTTTCTTGAGTGATGAAACGAGACCAAGGTTTGACGGGGTAGCTTGAGGTAAAAGTGAGCGGTGAAGCTATTTGAAAGATGCATGGGGACACATACTTTCCCAGAAGTTCTTCGATGTCACTTTCAAAAGGAATATCGTACGCCTTGAGGTAAGTGTCGAACTTGTCTGTCCCAAGAACGCGCATGATCTTGAGCAATTGGTCTTCATTGTCTGACCCACGGAAAAAGTGTTGCTTGCGGAAGATCTACAAGTTCCAGTGAGTTGGCATACCCTCTGTAGAAGCCTATACTGCACCATCGAAGCAAACATGCATCCAGTGCTCCAAAGATCAAGACTATAGTCATAGCGCTTGTAACCGACGAGCAGCTCTGGGGACTTATAGTGTCGCGAACCGACCCGCACGTGGTATTCTTCGTCCAGATGATAAAATTCAGCCAACCCCCAATCGATAAGACGAAGTTCACGACGTTGGTGGTCAATCATTACATTGGCGGGCTTCACGTCACGATGCATTATTCCGTGAGAGTGCACGAAATCGAGTGCTACAAGTAGCTGGAACATATAGTAGCGAATGTCGGGATCGGTAAGGCGAGTATAGAGTTGGCTCCATTCAGTGTTGTCAACATACTCGGTGACCAGACTGTGGTATAATCGTGAGGCTTCGGAGGTATAAGCAGAGTTCAATATACGCTGAAAGAGCACGCACGATCTCGAACCACGTCTAGTAAAGAGATGCAGTTCGGAGCGCCAGCAAGATTACGGAGAACCTTGATCTCGCGTTTGATTTTATGACCCGCCACTGGTTTAAGGACTTTGATTACGCAGCGGTCGTTGTTGACCGTGTCTACACCTTCGAAAACCTTAACGGACAAGGGTTTCAGCATTTGGCGTAACAAGAAGAAAGCAAAACAAACCTCAGAGTACTTTCCACCACCAATCCGGCGAATTATTTCGTAGCGGTCGGGAGCAGACCATTCTATCTTGAACTTATTGTACTCGTACCACGACTTGCCACGTATTGCGTTGGCGTCCGCATACACCCGCGACATCCAGCCGCCTCGTGGTGGTCGGCTTCAAGAAGGGAGGCGCGTCACAAAAAGAAGGTCACACAATCTCTTTGACTGCTCCAAAAACAGCAAGCTCAAGATCTCCGATATCGTATGCAACGATTGTCTCGACATCGCCATTTTCACGACAGAATACGCAGAGCCCATTGCCAAATGTCTACTGGAGCAAGCGACGAACGCAAAGCAGAGTTGGCCGAGTCTTTGGCTGAAATTCGTTCCCGGGTCGCCTCTGCCTCATCTGGAGCACCAACTTTGGTTGCTGTGTCGAAATATAAACCTGCATCGGATATTCAAGCGTGTTTTGAGCAAGGCCAGCTGGATTTCGGGGAAAACTACGTCCAGGAACTTGTTGACAAGGCAAAAGAGGTGAGAAGTGGCGTGTGTCTTCCTATCTCACCCTATCTAGTTATCTCAAGACATTCGGTGGCATTTTATTGGAACCCTACAGTCTAACAAAGCCAAAACTCTTGCTGGTGAGTTTTGAATCACCGTTTGGACGCGTCTCAATTATCAGCCATCCCGAACTTATATTCCATCCACACCCTCACGTCGATGAAGACCGCAACTCTTCTTAACAATGCTCTTCCGTCAGAACGAAAACACCCCCTCAATGTTCTTCTCCAAATCAACACCTCTGGGGAAGACTCTAAATCTGGCCTCAGCCCATTACTTTCCAAAGACGACAACGACAATGATTTGGTCAAGCTAGCGAAGCACATCGTGACTTCATGTCCTCAACTTCGTCTCGATGGCCTGATGACGATAGGAGCGCTGGAGCAGTCGTTAAGTGATGACGAGAACGCGGATTTTGTGACACTGACAACAACTCGCGACCTGTTGGAGCTCCAGCTACAAGAGGATGGTTTTCTGTCGGAAAGAAGGCTTTTACTAAGTATGGGCATGTCGAGCGATTTCGAGGCAGCATTGAAGGCTGGCAGTAATATTGTTCGTGTCGGCACAGGCATTTTCGGAGCTAGAGCAACAAAACAATGAAATTGACTTCTCGAGACCACTTTGTAGTATAGTCAAGTATCGTCGTGCTTAGCTGGTCTATTATCTACTTTTGCATTGTGCTGTTGACTATCATCTTCAAATTTCTTGATATTGAACGGCCACCTCACTCCGTACTACTCCTCTCCGCTCTCCCCAACCCACATTCCCTTAATCGATGAGCCACTACGACAGCAACCCATATGTACATACCCAAATACCGCAGGCGGAGGGTTCAGCTTCAGATAGCCATGGCAAACGACTTTCCGATCCGGGACCTCCGGTTACCGAAAATGAGGATTCGGAACACACGGGACACCCTGGGCGGAGAGAAAGCGAGCCTGGCCGGGGCTTTTCTGCTTTCTCACTACGAGGAGGAATGGAGGAGGGAGAGGCAACAGGTCGACGATTGTCATATGCCGAAAGCTCCTCTCCATCTCAGTCGTTTGTTTCCCTCGCCGATGACGAGCAAGACACTCGATTGGCTGCCTCACAAGGTCCCAGCGCGTGGCGACGTGGCACTCTCCGACCTGATGACCACCAATCCTACGCCGAAATGTCTTCAGCAACGCAATCCTTTGTGTCATTCCAAACTGGTCTAGAGGAGACCCCAACACATTCCACCGCAGCCCTTGGAAACTACAGCGATGTGGAATCGAGATTACCTGTCGCTGGACAGCGAACTGCAACAAGTAGGACGGGAAATTCTCCCTATGGCTTTAACAACCCATTCACCGAAGACACGCAAGACTCGCGCCATCCAATGCGGCGACAGACGGATGGCTATGTTAGAGATGAAGGACATGGGGCAGTGGTGCATGACCCGCGATATGGTCAACCAAGCCGACAGCAAACCGCGCCGTCCAACTTGGTTGGCTATAATTACGGAAACACTTCGCTGCCCCCTGCAATGCCCGAACCAATACGACAACCGACAATACTCGAGTACGGGCAAACTCCCTTGATGCCTGAACCACAACACGGGCAGCAAGGGAGCCACTACGGAGATTATGCATTCCACACCCAATCGCCCTCTATGCCTGAGCCTTATGACCAGAGCACCATTCGTCAGCCAACCGCAATGAGCCCCCCTTCGATGCCAGAAGCCTATGGAATGCCCAATCCACACCACTCCAGCGACGATGGGCTTTCTGGTGCTGACAGTCTTGCACTTGGTGCCCAAATTCCTAACCCCTGGGAGGCGACCAGCAATCCACCACCAATGCCATCATATACTCCCCATAGCCAGGGTCGTCAACCGACGATTTCTTCTACATCCACCGTCTCTCCGAGACCTGTGGGTGGTCATTCTGACTTTGCTGCTGGACAACCGCAAGGCGCCTCATCTCCTTCTCAACCGCTTCAAGGGCCTACTACCACGCCTTCTTTATCTTCACGCCCATCCGCGCCTCCTAGCAGTGCTCAGAGACCCGCCGCCGCTTGGGAGGGTAGTCAAGGACAATCACAAGTATATAACCAACCTTCACCACCACAAACTTTCACTACTGCTTCTCGCCCTACGGCGACTCCGCCACCGTCTTCCCGACCATCTGCTGCAATAATCTCCTCTCCTTCCCCTTCTCACCACCAAACCTCGTTATCAGCCAATCGGCCACAACAACAACAACAGTCAACTCCTGCCAGTGTTCACCCATTGCAACAACAGTCCACCACTCCCTCATTTAACCGACCTCAGCAACAAAATCCGCCATCAAACGTGCACTCTCCCCAACAATCATCGCTGGGAACGACGAAACCACCAGTTGTAGCTTCGAATGTGAACAAGCCGTTTCGCCCTGAGGAGCACCGCCCACCCGTGCAACAAGCAACACCTTCTACGAGACCACAACCACTCCCGAGCGTGTCCAACCAATCATTATCGCGGCCCACTCAACCCCAGCCGAAACCTTCAACGAATGGGCATCCAGCGACGACATATCCGCCTGCTCGACCTGTCGTAACTGAAAAGCCCGCAAAACAGGTTGCCCAAACGGCATTTACGACGCCGCATCAGCCCGTCAAGGCCACGCGTGGACCGGGAGACACGAAATACATTAGTATGCTACTCGCCTTGGATGATATTCCGGTGGGGTTTTTCCGATGCTTTTCCATGCATCATTGACCAAGTTTTCAGCCGCTTTGGAACATTCTGGCCAGTTTCTTCACGTGGATCTTGTTGGCTGGGTTCGTCCTTTTCCCGGGAACATTTACGAGTTTGGAACAAAATGAGCAACTCAACGCGATTGGTGTTACTGCGGTCAACGTCGTCAAGCACGTTTCGCTGTAAGCTTATTTAGTAATTCGATGATCGACTGTTGACTGTTATAGCTATGTTATCGCGTGGGTCTGCACTGGGATCGGTGCAGGAGGGATGCTCTGGCTCTGGCTTCGTTGGCGCAATAACTGGATTTGGCTCGTCAACCGGGTCTTCCTCCCTGGCTTTCTCAATTCGCTCGCGGGTCTTCTTTCAACGCTTTCCAGTGCGTTGGGCTCCCAGGATAGGACCTTCTCGGTCGCTAGCAAGTCCACGGTCATTGTGACCTCGGCTGTCACCGGAATTTGCGGATTGCTTGCTGCTTTTTATCTTCTCGTGCCGATACGCATGATGAAGAACCAGCATGACCGACAAGTTGGCAAGCAACATGCGGGAAAGCACGGGGCCGGGTATTCAGGCACGCGACCGCGATTACCAGGCAGACACGGCAGCCAGATGGACACGAAATATGTCAATATGCTATTGGCTCTGGATAGTATTCCCGTCAGTAAGCTGCAACCCCTTAAACACACTTTAATTCCCTTTAGATGATTTACAACCTCTTGACCAATTTCTTCACGTGGATTTTGCTGGCTGGATTCGTGCTGTTTCCGGGAACTTTTACCAGTCTCCAAAACAACCCACAGCTGGGTGCGGTGGGCATTACTGCAGTTAATGTTATCAAGCACGTCTCACTGTAAGCCTCTTCCTTCTTTCATTCTGGGGTCTTATATGTCTGTAGATTCGTCATCGCGTGGGTCTGTACCGGACTGGGTGTCGCAGGAATGCTTTGGTTGTGGTTCCGCTGGAACGCCAACTACGTTTGGCTGGTCAACCGGATATTCCTGCCCGGCCTGCTCAACTCGCTCGCTGGTGTCGTCTCCACGCTCGCCAGTGTCTACGGAGCCCAAGATGGGACGTTTTCCATTGCCAGTGTGTCGACTATCACCGTCACCTCCGCTTCTGCCGGTGTTTGCGGCCTCCTCACGGCGTTTTACATGTTCGTGCTGATTCGCAACCTGAAGAAGCAGCATGATCGACAGGTGGGGAAACAGCGCGCTGGGAAGCATGGGGAGGGGTACACGGACATATCGAAGAGGGTGTAAGACTAATATTTTCGTCTTGGAATTTTTCGTGCTCGAATTCTCCGTCTGTAATGGGACTTTTGTAGCTCTCTTGTAACTTCCCGTAGAATGTTGTGCTGAATCTGGAGAAATGAATTTTCATCTCTGTTAACTTCCAATTAAGAAAGAAACTGTACGTTAAGCATAAATACTCTGCATGTAAACATGACTGGAAGATGTGCTCATTCACTAGCAGGCCGTTTCTTCTTTTTCTCCAGGCCTTCCAAAGTGTCCTCCATTCCGCCCACATCAAGTCGCATGTCGGTAAGTTTACGACGGAGACCATCGACCCGTTTCATCAGATGCTCGAAGTTGATCTCAAGGGTGTCTACTCGGGTGTGGAGGCTTGCGCGGGGGAAAGTACTCGAGGAAGGCGTGGTAGGGTGGGAGACAGAGTAGGTGCTCGTTGACGGTGTGTTTGGCTCCTCGGAGTCAGTGTTACCGGAATGGTCCGAATCGGACTCGGATTCGGAGATGGCTTCTTCGTCAACTCTGCCAACGACGTGAGTGGTCAACAAGGGAGTGAGAGACGAGAATTGTACGTTTCAAGTGCCTTTGTGAACTGCGCGGGGTGTCGAGGAAGGGTCAAAGGCGAGAAGGCCTTTGACTGTCTGTAGGGCGGTGGAGAGGGTGGCACGTCAGCTGCTGATGGTTTCTGGCCACTGAGGGCAATCTCGTACGAGTTCGGGGGGCTTGGGGGAGAGAGACCGGGCGGTGGAAAGAGGCCTGGCATCGTTGGTGTGATATGGCGGGAAGGGAATGAGATGGGTGCGGCGCTTGGCTCCGTTCCCCTTTTCATCTTGAAGGGTCCTAGGTACCAGCATGAACGGACGGGAACTCCTTGATTCTTGATTGAAAGGAGCGCCGAGATCAGGGAACAAGGATGTCGAGCAAGGGCGGAAAATGTGTCCTAGACTTGTTCAATTGCAAGCAACAGTTCTTGTCCCGCGTTTGGGCTTGCAACTTGAAGTGTGTCATAGCAAGTCGATTTTGAGAAATTTTATCGGATGAAATAGGGCTACATTTCCACCTCACACAATCCCATGTACAGGTAGCTTGCAACGACCATCTTGATGAGAACTTCATTGAGAAGTGGTTGTTGATTTCGATGACTTGGGTCTCACGTGATGAATTGATGCGCTTGATGCGCCGAAAGAGCGGCCTCCTTGGCGGCCTCCAGCGTCAATAACAGGGAATCGCTCATCGGTTGTTGTGGTAAACCGTAGATAATTACAACTGCATACGCATACTGCACATTCTTGATCTTGGCATAATAACGAAACTGCGGGCGGTGTGGCCGTGTGATCTCTTCCCGCTACCAAATTTTTCTTCTCTTTCCCCTCCATGAGCGCCAACTACTCCCCATTACCGACAACAACGAACGTCCACCATCCTCCATCAAGCCACGCAATCCTTTCCAAACTTACTTCTAATGCTCCTCCGACCCGGGTCCGGCGGCTAATCGTGTTTGCCGCTGTTCTCATATCGAGTTCAGTGTTGCTTGTCTACCTCTTATATTCGCCTTCCATTTCTTCTCCATTTAACTCGCCGATATTTTCTTCGACCCAGAGGCAGCAAACACAACAGGTAGCCCCGAATGACGGCGGCTACTCAGATGTCAATCTCGCCGACGACCCATCCTCGCCATGGTTTCGGGACCCTCATCCAGCGCTGCACGCCAGACTTTTCCTTGCGCGGGCCCAAGCAGAAATCAAATCGAGAGGGCTGGACACATGCAATGGGAAGCTTTCGGGAAAGATGGTGGACGGGTACATCGACGCAGCGATGTCGTACTGTGAGCCAAAAGGTGTGTTATCCTGCTCACTTTCCTCAGCTTTTACTAAGATGAACTGCAGCTCAGACGCAGGATGCCTCGGTTACCTGTTTCCCAGTTCGAGCCGCCAATTCTCCGAATGCCTGGTGGCCATATACCCAGTCGTTCTGTGCCTCCCAAAACCTTATGCACAATGCTGGCTGGGGCAGTGACAATTTGAGGGAAAGGGGAGACTTCATCGGGAACTGTACGATAACAGAGGCTGGTCATGCGCTCAAGAAAGCCATGGGTCGGGAGAAATTCTTGGGTGCCGAATTCACCGAGGCATCTGCAGGGGCGCCACCGTCTTGTGGCGAAACTATCACCCATCCAGTGCTCTTTGTGCCCCGTCAAGACCGGTGGAATCCGTTCCATGTTGGGGAAGACCTTGTCACTACCTTCCTTGCCCTTTCCATTTTCTCCCGCCACTCTGCTCCGAAGGCGAGTTCATTGTGGAAAGACCTTCCGGAAGCGTATGCCTCAGACAACGCCAAGTTTACCCAACTTCGTGCTACACTCGAAACAGAGCTTGAATCAACTGCGGGTCTCCAGCTTATCTTCCAGGACGAATACCTTCCTACCCAGTCCCTTTTTGCGCCGCTGTACGATAGGATAGGTGCGTGGACTGCGAGGAGACAGGCGGCTGAAGCCCTCGGTGTTTCTGGATCGCCAACTTGCTTTACCAATGCGATGCATTCCGTCGGAGCTGGGGCCTCGCTACTCAGTGGAACAGGAGTCGGGCACAACTTTGATTGTGCGAGTGAGTTGGTTTGGGGAGCAAGCTTATGGTTGAGATGGATGTGGGGTCTTGAAAAGACCGTCCCGGGTGGGGCTTTCCTTCAAGGGCTGGCCAAACGAGAGGCGCTGGAGCCTCGTCTACCATTACAAGGCACTTTTAGCGGAGCGGAGCCTGTGCAAGTGCTTTTCCTTTCACGGGACAAGTTCGATGCCTATACCCGGTGCGCGTTTTTGGATTGATTTCCCTCAAACTGACGCAGACTGCAGTCACAAAAATGCACAACTTACAGCTTGGCAAAATGCCCGACACATCGACAATGAGCGCGATCTACTGATTGGACTACGGAAAGGGTTGGCGGAACTATGTCGGACGACGACTGACATCCCTGGCGCTACTTCGCCTGATCACGCAGCAGGCAATATAGACTGCACATATACCGACGCCGATATGTTACCTGGTTCGTGGGGTGTCCCCATGCATAGGCGGGAAGCGAAGGCTCTTGGGCTGAGCCACGACCTCACCCCAGCCCCCGACCATTCTCATTACCCGGAAAGACGACGACCACGTTCGGTGTTGTCCGAGAGAGCTGCTTCAGGCGCTCGAGCTTTACGATTCGCCACCCTTGACCCGACAACGCTGGCCCTTCCTGCCCAGCTAGGAATGGTTGGGCGGGCAGATGTAGTCATCAGTGTCCATGCTGGGGCACTGGGCCTGACGCTCTTCATACCAACGGGGCGGTCGAGTGTTATTGAACTCGTGCCAACGGGCGCTTACGGGGTATGTCTGTCATTTTTCCCCTTCGTTAAGAAGCTCATCTACGACACCAGAACCAACACTTCCACAATATGGCCCATATGATGGGAAATGAGTATGTTCAGATCGGCGTTCAGCGAAACGTCGATGTGCAAAAGGTGGTCAACTCTGTCAAAGAGGTTGTGCAGAGGAGGTTGCAGGCATAGTTGTTGTAAATTATAATACTAACCGATCGTGCTGGGACGCTATCAGAATTCTGAGGACCGGTCAGCAGAAATTTGAAGCCTGCTGTGACTTGTTTTCTTGGAGTCTTTCGGTACATTGGCAGTGTGCAAGTAGACTTACATTCAAGGGTGAGTCCTTGGATGCTACTTACTTGCAAGTATTCCTAGTAGAAAAGCTCCACAGTGACAGAGCAGGAAATTCGAGATCATGTGATCATTGACGTTTTCTCCCTCTTCCACTTCCAACTCTTGAAGCAAATCATTGCGAAGCCACACGCGTCTCTTAAGAAGGGTTTCAACCAGAAAAGCATTTTTAGACACTCTTCTTAACGTTTTCCATCGATTGTTCCTGTTGTCAATGAAAGGTCAGACCAGAACGCTCTACGGTTGGCCCTTGCTAACGTTTGGATTGCAGTGGATCAGAAACAATCTACGTGCCATTGGCCACCTGGAGGTCAATATTAGCCCTCTGCGCTTCCGCTGTTGAACACCTGGTCCCGGCCTGCAGACCCTGACTCGTTATGTGGCAGCCGATGAGATGCTGATCTACAACCGTGGAGCCAGTAAGCCGCCTTTGCCCGTTTATAACGCTGCCAATCTTTGTCGCTGAGAAAAAACATGGCTTCCGCATTAACCGGTACGAACGTGCAATTAGTCGGTCTTCGATCGGCCCAGGTTGCGGCAGCGACTTTAGGAGCAGTCGCTTCCTTATCTTCAACCCCGTTTCTTGCGACAACCGCGTCTAGCAGTCAATCCGTGCTGGCAAGTCTACAGGTATGTGGGTTTTCTTGTCCGGTTCCTGCACAGGACTTGTGCATCCACAGACGTTGAAAACCAACAAGCAGGAGATAGGCCAACTTGCGAAAGATGTGGCACAAATCCTGAGTGGTATTGTTGCCCTCGAAGTTGGTCGCGACAAGGACAGCATGGTTGAACCCGAGCTATTACATGAAATTGGGAAGTTTGCAGAGTCTGTTTCTCTCTTCTTTGGCTATTATCGAGGACTCAGGCATAGCCACAGGACAATGAGCAAGTTCCAACTGTGGCTCGATGCCTACCAGCGGACCAGCAAACTCCGTCGCCTATTCCGTCAATCTGAGGAATCTGTGCAACTGCAGGCATGCAAGAAGGGAGTTCAACAAGCTCTAAATATTTTCAAGGTGAGCCCAGCAACATCTACAACAAGCGACCCATTGATTTATCCCAGAAATACGCTGAATTAGCGGTCTCTACCAACGTGGAATCGATGATTCGAGACGCTCAAGCAAGACATGACCAGCTCATTGAGTTAATGGGCTCCGACTCCGACAGCTCTTATTCGGTAGGTACAAAGAAGAGACGCATATTTCATCTCAAACCGAGACAGGCACCATTCTCTCTTTCTTACTCTGCGGGAAGGTAAGCCTCAATACTACCAAGTCTGATGTTTTAACAAGCTTCCCTAGTACTGGGTCACTGTCATTATTACCACCAGTTCCACAGCTCTTCAATGGCCGTGAACGCGAACTCCGCCAATTGATCCATCTGCTTTTGACTCAAGCTGCACGAGTGGCCATCCTAGGCCCCGGCGGGATGGGAAAGACAAGTCTTGCTGTCGCCACACTGCATGATGAGGATATAGTGAAGAAATATCCAAACCGACATTTCATTCCATGCGACTCCGCATTCACCGTTTCCCATCTTACCACGATCATTGGCATTAACCTTGGCCTTGAACCCGCATTCCGGACGCGCCAGGGAATCATACGGCACCTTACGGAGAAATCGTCATCCTTGCTCGTCTTGGACAACTTCGAAACACCATGGGAACCCCAAGAAAATAGGCCCGGCGTTGAGGATTTTGTCTCTGCCTTGTCTGATATTCCACATGTGGCCCTTGTGGTATGCCTATGGCTCGCTGAACTTGGTCATATGCTAACAACCTTGTACAGATGACCATGCGAGGTACCGAGCGGCCTAGCAAGACGCTTTGGACGCGGCCATTCATGCCTCCTCTCGAACCGTTGTCAGACGTTGCTGCCCGCCAAACTTTCCTCGACATTGTTGATGAACAGGATGAACCCGGAATTGTCGATGATCTTCTCGCCCTGACGGACAATGTCCCCCTTGCGGTCAACCTTGTCGCTCGAGTTGCCGCAGTTGAAGGCTCCGCAAAAACCCTTGAACGTTTCAAGGTAGAGAGGACAGCAACTTTGATCGACGGAAACGACAAGCGGTCCAATATCGAGACTTCAATCCGCATATCTCTATCCAGTCCGCGAATCAAATCATCTCCTCACGCACAAGAGCTTCTCAGTCTTGTGTCACTCTTACCTGACGGGGTTTTTGATGTTGATCTTCTTCAAAGTCGGCTGCCCATTCCTGATGTCCTTTCCCACAAGATTATTTTGATTCGAACCTCGCTTGCCTATGCAGACCCTTCAGGAAGGCTGCGTGTATTGGCTCCCATTCGAGAATACATCCAAGTTGCTCATCCGCCAATGCCTCTTACCTTACGTCGCCTCCGCCTCCACTTCCACATCCTGTCGGAGTTGTGGGATGCCTTCATTCACCGGCGCAGCCTGATGACCGACCTCTACCTCCGGCTCTCGTTGAACATGGGAAACATGCACCAATTACTGATCCGTGGTCTGGATGACGATCCGGTGGACCTAAAAATCACCGCGCAGACGATTCTAAGGCTGAATTACTTCAGCCGGCTGATGAGTCGAGGAATCTCTCCATTATTTTCTCGAATACCCGCCATTCTTCCCTCATTGGACGACGACTTCATCGCTTTGCAGTATCACATCGCGGTGCTGCTCAGCTGGCAATTCATCAAAATCGCCGATCCGGACAACCTAATTGAGACTGCAATCTCCCTTTTGCCAAGACTGGAGCGACCAAGATTAGAAGGTCTGTGCAGATCCTCCCTACAAATAGTTTCTGACTGCTGTTCTAGCTGCATTATATAACGCGGCTGGGGAATACTATCTCGACTGCGCGCATGATTCTAAAAAAGCAAGACTGTTCTTTCAACGTGCACTTGTATTGGGCATCAAATCGGACGAGATGGTCCCTCAAGCACGTGCCATTGGTGGATTGGCTTTGCTCGAATGGTTCCAGGGAAATCATAAGGAATGCATCCGTCTTGCGCGGGAGCAACAGCGATTGGGATATTTAATGGACAACACCATTGCTGAAATCAGTGGGAGTCGGCTCCGTGCAATGGCCCTGACGGCCATTGGCGATTTCCGGGAAAGCGCCAGGGCCCTAACTGAAGGACGCGCAGCGATAATCAGGACTCATATGCTCAACTCACAATACGACAGTATGTTCATGAACGTCGAAGCGGAAATGCATCTAGTCAAGACCGAGTATCAAGAAGCACGCGAGTTGTATGCGAAAATTGAACGACAGTCCTCGGCAGTGTTTAGTCCGCAGACATACGCATACGCCGTCATAGGCCTTGCTTTTGTCGACATTGAGATTGGCGTTCACCCTGACTTGATTCTCGCTCACATCAAGACTGCCCATGAGCCACTTCATCGGTCGAATGATCTTCGAGGGACGCAGATAGTAGACCTTTGTGAGGGTTGCCTCTCATTGCGGGAGGGCAATAAGCTGCACGCCCGACAAACCCTTACTCGTCTTTTTGGTGAATTCCGTGCTGACGACGAGGAATGTACATTCATGTGTCTCACGAGACTGGCCGATCCAACCAACCGTCTTCATGACTTGGCGGATGCTGTCCGCTGGGCTACTGTGTTTTTCGCGTTCGCTCAGCGCAAAAGCAATCGACTGGCAATACACCAAGCGCTCCGATGTCTCGCTGAGGTCGCGATTTGGGGCGGGGACAGAACCGAGGGCTTCAATCTGCTCCAACTTGCATTGGAGGGGTTTACTGCGATGGACGTCCATCACAGTCGAGCACAGTGTTTGGGCTCCCTGGCAAGGCTTGAACTTCGAATGGGCAATCGTATGAAGGCGGAAGAGTTGTGGCGGACTGCACGGCCACTGTTTGAGCGTTGCCATCAGTTGGACCAGGTAGAGCGCATTAACACCTCGCTCTCTAAACTCGTGTTGTCTGACGGTGGCCGAGATAGAGTAGTTGCACTCGCTTGACATGAAAAGTTGTCGTTCGGAACTGATCTTGATCACTTGTCACAATCGAGGTTGTCCTGTTGTGTAGTACTTAAATTTCGTCATTCAACAAATCCTCTCTCAGGCTACCTCGATGGCCTGGGTGGATGTTCCAATAGTGGGTGGTACTCCTCCCTCGCTGAGCACGTTAATAGTCTTGCTCAGGTCTTGGACTGTGGCTCAGACACGATTAAAGCAGGCTGTAAGGCTCTCTCATGATTCCAGGGCCCTGCTGAATACAACAGTTGCTGGTTAAGATGTCTCCTGCATCCACTATGCTCTTCCACTCAAATTTCTTAGGTTCCGATGCCCCGCACTCGGTGTTTCGGTAAGAACTACGATCGTAACTTGTCAGAAGCAGAGGGTTCACAAATTATTCTAGCTCTGTTATAGGTTATCCTCGTCATGGCGGAATCGACATCTTTGGCAATACGGGTATCTTGATCGGGTTCCTTCCTCCTTTCACGACTGTCCTCGCTACTAATGGGCGAACCTAGCGATGCAGCTCTTTCCCGCTCCGAAGGCACACTACATTCTGCAATCGAAGCAGGCGTCATTACAAACTGGGACCACGCTCAAATGCTCTGGAAGCATGCCTTCGACCATGAGCTCAATATCGCCATGGGCGATAACTCTGTACTCCTCACCGAACCAGTTGACATTCATACCCCAATTCGGCAAAAGGTAGCGCAAATTATGTTTGAAGATTTCAACGTTCCCGCACTCTGCATTCGACCAACTGCAATGCTAGCGCTACAGGGTGCTGGGCAAGTAACGGGCATGGTATTGGAGTCGGGCGCTGGAATGACACAGTCTGTTCCCGTCCACGAAGGACAAGTGCTTCGGCAAGGAGTTCGCAAGGCTGCGTATGGTGGTCGCGACATCACTGATTTCCTCGTATTGCTTCTTAAAAACCGCGGATACGAATTGAAGACTCGCGGGGAACGTGCCATTATCGACGAAATGAAGCAGAAGCTGTGTTTGATCACTGAGGACTTTGCTGTAGAGATGGCGAACGGCGCTGAGCTGGAACCAAGAGAACATACCAACGCGCTTCGCTACGAGCTGCCTGACGGCCAGACTATCACGATGGGAACTGCAAGGTTAGTTGATTTTGTCCTCTCAAGGCTTCGTGCTTGTTTTGTGGTAGATTCGTTGCTCCTGAGGCACTTTTTCAGCCATCACTTATGGGATCGAATCAAACACCGGTTCACGACACCATGTGCGTATTTCGCTGGTCTCCGACCTCCGTTCTAGTCTCTGACCGTCAAGCTTGGTAGCCTTGCCTCCCTAGCGTTTTCTGACCAGTCTATCCAACCAAACCTTGCCAGTAACATCGTCCTCTCCGGTGGCAATACATTGTTTCCCGGCTACCACGGCCGTTTGATGAACGAAATTGCGCGTTCTGCTCCGTCAGATCTTGTCTCGCATGCAAGTCAACTGTTCTTAAAATCTTGTTCTCTGGGTCGCCATTAACTTGTCACAGATCAGAGTTCATGCCTTGCCCGAGCGCAAGTACCTGACATGGCTCGGTGGTTCTATATTCGCGGAACAGAGCATGTTTCACCGGAGCTGTATGACGAAGCAGGAGTACGAGGAAATGGGTCCGGAAGGAATTATTTCAAGTAAGCTATCACCTTGCTTTGGCAAGGTCCCCCACCTTTGTTATTCGCTCCTTTAGGAAATCTTTCCAATCAAAAAAGTGCTAAATTACACACATCTGCCATTTCCTAACATATACAAACATATGTAAATATTCATAAACAAATACGCTCATAAACGAGGACCACCGAGAGTGCGATTGTGTCTGGAGATTATTAGTCACACCAAAAGCGCGATGTAATCCAAACCTTTTCCATTCTTGAGCTCGTTTAGTCTGCTCTGTCAATCGTTCCAATCTTTCATCTTCCACTCGCAGTTGCTCAGACGGATGGTTGGTGAAGAGCTCAGTGTTGAAACCCCTCAAAATTCGTATTGTATCTCGTCCTCTACTGCGCGACAGCGCCACATACGCGTGGAATGGTGTCAGTCTCCCGGTAGGTGGGTCACCAAGATCGATGATTACATATTCGAGAGTTTGCCCTTGAGACTTGAAGTCGGTAAATGCATATGCTGGAGTCATTGCGTATTGACGTCGCTTCACTGTTCTTGTCTTCGGAGTGCCGCCCGTAGGAATTTGGAAGGACATCACCGACGGGACAATAGGTAGAACACCATCTGGTAAGCCACCGATTGAGCCAAAGGTACTAGTGTCTGGCTTGAAGAACAACACCGCCGGCGGAAATCGCAGCCTAACTTTCCCCTCTTCGTCGGTCACCAACGGATACGGCTCTCTGTGATCAAGTTTCAGGTCCACAATTGTTCCGCGAGTCCCATTCGCGAGGTCCGCTTCGGTTGCGATGTTGAAAAGAACCATCGCTCGCATGCCTAGCGCGATGTTCACGTGCTCTTCGAGTCTGCCAGTCTGCTTTTGAGGCTTTGCCGCGACTACAACCCGCTCGCGCAGTGTAAGTGGTCGTCGATGTGGAGAGATGATATCTTCGGCGGGTGAAATATAGAAGCGGCTTGCCGTAGACCAGCAATGTCGCGTTAAGCTCGCCATGTTCCACTTCACTCTTGCACCATGACGCGGAGTTACCAATACTGCGTTGTTCCAAGGTGCTGATGAAAAGTCAGGAACATCGCATTCTGGATTTTGCAGTAGAAGCTTGTCCACTTCCCGAATGTCCTCGGCAGTACATGATCCCGTTCGCAAGCGATTCAGAATTTCCATCCATCCTGCGTCGCGCATGCGCATTTGCTGTGTGAGCGTAATAACCGTGTCGAATTGCAGATATAGCTTTGCACCCAATCGCCCTTCTTGCTTGTCATCGTTGATGTAGTAGAGTGCACCTGTCGGATTCGCTGGAGGGGGGAATTGGTGCATATCGCCACATAGGATGACATTAATTTCTCCGAATGCAACAGAACTGTCCGCGCGACCATCATGTCCTTTCACTACTCCTATGACGCAAGAAAGTTCCAACAGCAAGCGCTTCGTCAACATGCTCGCTTCGTCGATGATCAGATACTGGGTGGGAAGAATGTTACGTTGGCGTTTGTCGAGGGTTTCTTGACTCGGATTAATGGTTGTTTTCTTGATGGACAATCCGGCCCAATTATGCACAGTTTGGCCGCCAAACAGACTTGCCGCCACCCCGGTCGTGGCTGTTTTGGCTAACATGTTACTAACATTGCGGGATTCAAATAAAGCCGCAATTGCGTTGATGACGACCGTTTTACCTGTCCCACCTGCTCCTTGGAGCATCATGAGAAGTTGTCTTGGTTGGTTGCCGGCAATAGTGTCGCGTAGGTGGTCCGCGATAATATCGTGCGCGAGTCGCTGTTCCTCGTTGAGAATGGTCAATAACGTGTTGTATTTGTCGTTTGGGGCCGTTAATGGATCTCCCAAGTCGACAACATCGGCCGGTTGAGCGGTGAAGTTTTCGAATACATCTTCGGTCCGCGGTAGGACTAGATCACTGTTGTCAACAACACCAGAATTTCTCGTCATGGCTGCCACGCTTTCGGCCCAGGTCTCATATTGGCGGGATTGAGCTAGCGTCGCTTGTTCGGCATCGTTCCATTCAGGTGGACTTCCTGGTAATGTCTCTGAAAAGATTCCAGTGCGAAAGGCGATATCCATGGCTCTGGCACCAAATGCTTCTTCCCTCGCCGCATATCGATTTTGACGGGCCAGTTCTACGTCTGCTTCTGTTAATGGTCGTAGAGGGTCGTCCGTTTCTTCGTCATAACTGTCTACCTCCGCTCGTTGACTATTTTGTTGCCTCGTCTCACCAACGCTGTCCGCATCTCGCCGCTCCTTGGCTGCATCAGTACAATCGTGATAGTATTGGATATTTTGGATGATATCTAGAATGCGTTGGCTTGTGGTGTTTTTGAACTCCTCAAGGGCGATTGTCAGCGAATGTGAATTTCCTTGAAGATCTTCCAACTTTCTCCATGGCTTGACAAGGGCGAGAATTTGGGCCGAGTAGTACTCGGTATTCGGATCGTTTGCACTAGGGAGCCACCGCCCAACAATATTGACAACTGTTTCCATGTCAGCTGATCGCACGATTCGACAACCTGTGCGTTTGGACGTAGGGAGGTAGGGTACGCGAATGCTCGGCGGTCTTCCGACTGCGTTTCGGATGACGGGTTCATTTTCTTCCTCACTATCTTCATTCTCGACTGCTTGCTCTGCTGCCGACTCTCTGGATAGTAGACTTCCATGATAGGTGAATGTGTGAAAGTCGTAGAAGCTGGTGTCGTCAAGTTCATGCCCTCTATCCGCATACTCTTTCAATTGATCCTTGAGAATGAACTGTCCGTTCTCATATGACACCCTCACTGCTGGTTCCTAGTACCTAGTAAGTAATATTTCATCATTGTTAAACGCACTCAACCCCTGGTTCCCTTTCGCTGAGTATGGAATGTGCGGTCGATGAAGACGATCTGAAATGTATCAGCTTAGTATCCGCGAGCTATAGGTGCGCATACGATAGAGAAGCGATCCCAGTGTAGCATTGTCTGATAGCCCAAGTAACTTCGTCCCAATATATGCGAGCAAAATTGTGCGATATAAACCGATCGCCCCACCCCATAAGGTATCCAACAACCTCCGGACCACTGAGTTCATGTTGCCGACTGAGAGTATTGGCGCATCTTTGAAGAAGTAGCTTGTTCTCGTCCACATCTTGTTGTTGTCGCGCAGTCAGCTTCTTATGTAATGCTATTCCTTTTGCGAGCAATGCGGAGGCGTTGGCCGCTTGGTTTTGTTTCTTGGCAATGTAGAGCGTTATGTAGAATGTGATATCCTTTGTTTCGCCACCGTTTGTGATCAGTTTCATATCTTGGTTGCATCGACCAAACTGTAAGAGTGTTGGATTCCAAGCATTCATGCGAGACCAAACTCGATGCGGACCCCATTCCCCATTCTCATTTATCCACGCTTCGGATGCGGTTTTCCATGGGGCTCTCCGCTTGCATACCCATTGTCCATTCCGCATTCGCATGCATGTGCGGTCATAGCAATCGTGTGGTTGAGTAGCGCGCGCGCGATAATCTGCTCAGCTTCATCGCGTCGTTGAGCGTAATTCGGTAGTCGAGGATCTTCTGGTCGGGAATATGCAACGTTCTTAACTTTGGGAATCGATTTGAGATGTTCGTCATTTGGACCAGAAGTAGCTTTGATATGTTTCGCGATGAAGGTCCTGATCTTCTCCCTAAACGCGTCGCTTCGAAGTGCTTGTTTCATAACCGCTGCTGTCGGTGCACCCCCGTACCCAGAATAAAATATGCAAGTGGAGAGAGCCCCGAGCTTGGGCTTCGACAGTTCCGATATACCCATTTAGGACCCCAATTATACCCTCTTTGCGTTTGATATTGCCTCTTGTGGTGCATGTTATTCCAAATAGTTCCTCCAAAACTATGTTGACGACAACGTGGAAGAACTCTGCGGAGGCATAAGGGTCGTTTGCGATAATATATCGACGTTGCTTAGCAGTCGGGCCCGAAGTCTTGCTGAATGCATCCAAGTCAATTTCTTCACCCGCAAAAACCTGAGCGATTGGGTCACCAACATCGGACAGATTGAGAGTCGCCCAGATTGTTGGTGGATTGAACCGGAGTGTCATTCCCCATATTTGACCACGTATGGCGACCCTGCTCTCATCTGTCCCGGCAACCTTTGAGCGAACGGCTGATATCTGTCGGCGAAGGTTTCGCACAGTCGGATTGCTGAACGACTTTCTCTTCGCTTCTTCTTCGGCCGCCAACAACAAATCCTTGGGCTGAAGTAATAGGAATGATGTTTGGAACGCAGCAAACGAACTCCGTTTGACCTGCAAACTTGCCGCGCGACACATTTGGCGCTTCACAATGACTCCAAATGTCATAAACATGAAATGGATATCTTTGCGGAACCGTCGGTCGTGATACTGGAGGGCCCAGCGAACGTGCGTTTCGTATGGGACATCTCTTTCTCGATCAACTTCCAAACCTCCCATGCCATACGGAAATAGGAATGGAAATGCTCCAAGGATATGATTTGCATCCCCGGGACCCCCATCGAATCGATTGCCTTGCTTATCAGTGCGTGCATACTCATTCACAAATGCACTTCCTCGTCTGACGCCGTAGTTCCTAGCCCCCAGCAAGTTGCTTGTCGCATGAGAGAATAGGTCTGAGTCCGTAACCTCGTCTCCGACAGTGTCGATTACGCCGCTTGCTTGTATAGGAAAAACGTCGGGGTCTGTAATTTATGAACATGTTTCTATAATGATTTAAGATAGTACCTTGCTCGTCCTCGTCGTCGTTGTCGTCTTCGGATCGGTGATTCCGATTGTCTATAAGTCGTCAGTATTGCGTGGTATATACTCAAGATATCGCTACCTGGAAACGTGCCCGTATATGTTCCTCTATCCTCATCCATTCCCTCGCCATCATCTTCTTCATCATCGCTTTGATCGTCGGGGGTTACGTATGTCGCGTGCTCGTCCATAACCGCACCTATGTCGTCGGAATAACGAGCGTTGTTGGTAATCTCGTCAGGTACGTCGTTTTCGGGAAGCTCCACAGCAATCGCTCGTTAGATATCTGAATGTCGCTATACAGTGGGTTATATTGTTTGAGCCAGCGAAGCGCATTGAGTACACGATGCCGTTGAACATAGAGCATGTCTGGATACCCCGCGATGGAACGGTTCACTGTACCGACAAAAGTGACTCCAATAACGGCTGCGAGTAGAGAACTAGGATGTGGCATGATTTTTCCATCCGCCATTTGTACGATGCGATCGGTGTTGAGGCGGTAGGATGATACATTGCCCCGCAGGGCCTGGTTGGAAGATTTGACCTGCTGATTTCTTCGCATTTTGGCGGGGAACAACTTGACAATATAAGCCGCAGGAAAATATAGCGACACCAGGAGTCGTTCGGGAAGGGATAGAATTCGCAATTCCAGTGGTATATCTCCAATCCACATATTGTTGGAAAGGGATAGGGCTGGCCTGATACCACGGACAAGCGATCTGTGACATTCGTCGCAGATATATTCCGTCGATGCATTTGGCACTCTATGCAACAGTAGATCTCCGGTAAGTTGATGAGCAGGATGGGGATGTGTCGGAGTAAGTAGAGCGCCATTTGGAATATTGTCCACCGAGCAAGCGACCATCTGGGACACAAATCGCTCCCGACTGCAACTCATGCAAACACCTTTTAAGAGCGCTTGGTTGCTGGTACGATCAATGCCTCTATGTAGCGTTGTAAGCATATTAGTACATGTTTATGCCAACTCACCTCACGATACAATCCTCTAACAATTCGTCTTGGACTGGTCGCAAAAAAGGACCCGATATAACCTCTTGTATGTCTTGGGTAGCTGACCAGTTTGAATCCAGTCTGAGATGAGTCATCGAATGTTGTTCATCGTTGACGCGATGCTTTTTCCTTGGTTGGCGCGCAATTTTCTTTGTTCCGACGGTCGTTGAAGCATGAATGAGCAATTGCGCTCGCTGATTGTCGGGTAAAGATGCAATATGCGCCAGTAATTGTGTGCGGTTGCGCTTGACTTTCCGCGGTATTGGAGGGCCCACCAGGGTGATCAATGTTACGAGTTGAGGGACCGTAAACGTTTGTAGACATTGTTGGAGCGATGGAGACGACATTGGCATGACTAATGCTGTACGCCTCCCCTTGTTATGTCTCTTGCTAGTCTCAACGCGTTAGCCGCCATAAACATCGCAACATCTCGCGCGCACCAAAGGATGTTCTTGTTCCTGACTGTTCTTTGCAAGCTGGTCATCTCCTGCTCATATTGCGGTCGAAAGGCGCTGATTATATCGCGAATGCAAAGTTTGAAGATACGTTCTTCAGTCCTGCGAGTACCAATTATACGGGTAGTGCGTATACAAACGTCCAGCACTCACCAGACCCATCGCATGTTGCGCGTTTCATGTTGTTTGGTGAAATCGCTTCATTGCCATACCGCTCCGACTCTGGAGGATATCATGTGCGACTGAAGATGCCGAATTGGACTGCCTACCTGTATCCCTTGGACATTTTTCGACACGATTGGGAGTTGCAACTCGACACTTTGGAAGAAGTGGCGTTTCTTGCGCGAGTGGCGGACAACGAAGATGGGCTTGTGCGTGCAATACTGCTTCTCCGAGTGGTTCTAATACCAATAACAGCAGCCTTATGTATTTGAGTGGACCACGAAGGACGAAATACTGCTAGAAATCAGTTGGACTACAAACTACTTGGGACTAAGCATACCTGGAGAATATCGTCCAATCTCAGGTGTTGCACATCCTCGCGCATTCCCTTTCGCTATTGGGACGACTGTGGTTGTTCAAGCCACATTGCATTCCACTATAATGGCTTTCAGTATGTTTGGACGAAAACAGAGTGCGTGCAGGTTGACGTGCAGCATGACTTACATTGTCAGTATTTCACAGTAGCCGCGCAAACCGTCAAAAGTATCCAACCCTCCATCAACAGGATCGAATTGGATGTGCAGGACAGTTGCAGCGCGTCGTCAACGCGTGTGTGCATCGACGCATGATCGCTTGAGTTCGAGAGGAGAAGCACCGTTTATGTTATGTAATATTGTCACGTGAATCATTCGTTCTTTGCTCTCTCCAGTCATGCCTTACGGGGATTCTCTCCCAATTCTCAACAAGAATAACTGCGACGTTGTGAGAAAGCATTTAGAACGGACCGAGGCGGTAAGGACCATTGAATGCGTTTTTTGTATCTAGTACAACTCCTTTTGCAGTACGAAAAAGGCTCATGGAGCGGATTGCTCTTTGCAGCTGGCGCATGGCAAACCCGTTTAGTTGAAGTATCACTTTACTTGGGCTCTCCTTCGAATCCATCAGTCTACGACCTCGATGTCACCCATTGGATTCCACCTGGATGTCGGCCTAATGCGTCGTCTGTGGACTGGGACAATAACTCATATCAATTCAAACGATGGCCTGTACACAGCGACTCAACTCTTCCTTACGTCTACACGGTGTTTTCGGCTTCACAACCACCTCACGACTGGCACCCAGACGACTTCTTGGCTCCCGAAAATCGCTTTGTCACTCAGGTTGTAGCTGAAGATAATCGAAAATGGTGGGGAAATCTTCTGGTAGTGCGGTCGGATAGTGGTGTTGATGGGATTGGGAATATTACGCTGGAAGACGAGGCGTTATGCAAGGAAATGGTCAAGTAGTAAGTGAAGTCAACTGCATCCGTAAGTAACTGATAGCTTTACAGTGTTGTTAATAATCGTTTAGTAGGACGAGAAGCGTACACGTGGTAGTATGTCACTCACAATTCTTACCCTCATCCATCATGGCCGCGTTCCTCTTCAACAACGACCCTACCATTCGACAATTGCTGCTCAACTGCTCATGGTTCAGCGCTCTGCCCCTCAGCGGCACCAAGAGACAAATCAGAACAGTGTACCAACAAATTGTCCGCGAGCGTTTGGTCAACGCGGTAGGAAAGCTGCTGGCAACGACGACGAGTAGCAGCGACACCATACTCGGTGAAGTTTTAGCGCTCACCCAGTTGTCGTCGGCTGTCCTTACAGGACCAGCCATTATCCAGCTGTTTTTCCATCTTGCGTGCGACGATTCATGTACTGCGCGGCTCGATATCTTGGTTCCAAGTCCTTTTGTCCGAGAATGGATGCAACTCTTAGTCCGCCGCCTGGGTTTCAAAGAGTTTGTGTCTCATTTACGTCTTGTTGATCATACTGACAAGCACCAGATCGTCTGCTCAAGACCCCCCAGCGCGATTACGGGGTTTGGCTTCTGTAATCAAACTGAAACGAGGAGTATGTTTTGCATCGACCTAGCGGTGTATGTTGACGACTTATACAGGCAGCAATAGTCGTCATATTTGAGACCTTCTCGCTCTCAGTATTACCGACACTATATGCTGCGCGACAGACCCTCGACATGTCTTTTGTTTCAGGCGGGTCTATGATGTGCTTGTATCCGCGTTTAGGATGCGACTCGATCAGTTTGCCTTGTTGGTCATCTGGTGCTCAACCGCGATGGCGTGATCGCGGTATTCAAGACAGCGTTAGTTTCCACCCAATGGTAGACTTCCGCCCGCAAAATTTCGAATTCCATCGCAAATGTGGTACAGAATGTACCCGTATATGGCGCTGTTTACGCTCCGATAAGGGAACGGCATCATTTGTCTTTGACCCACGTTTACCTTCGACATACTTCGGACAAGATCGGCGCATTCGCTGGAGGATTGGGTCGGCTTGTTACAATGCCAAATGCTCTACCCAAGGAATGGAGATCCTGGCCTACATTACGAATTACTCTATGATTGGCTCCTCGGGGTCGATATAAATCGAAAAACTTGCCTGTGTTAACCTTCTGATTCGCAATGCGTCTCTTTCCCACTGAGCTCGTCAGCGAGTGTTTATCGCACGCCGATGTCTTCTCCATCCACACCATCGCTCGCACATTCCGTAGAGGCGCAGCTGCCGCTCGGTTCGCCCTCTCTGATCGATTCAAAACCTTCCTAAATCCTTATCTGCCTGTCGTGTTGCACCATACCTTCTGGACTGAACTTGGAAAGGCCAATGGCGGGATCGTAGGTTCAACTGTACTCGATTTTGTGCTCCCGGCGAATGGTCTATGGTCACCAGACGATCTGAACATTCTCGTCGCTCAAGATGGTTTGGACCAGCTGCTTTCGATCTTCCGCCTTGCCGGTTATCGCATTATCGGCATCTCATCCTTCGTGCCGATGGTATTCCAAGCAACCTCGTATGACGCCCTCCCTCTTTTCGCCTATCCCATTATCAGTCATTGGTCAAACAAGACTAAGCTCCTCATTGGGCCCGATGGACGCCGTGTCACCATTACCGAAACTCGCGACTCCAACATCATGCGAACTCTTTTGGGAGCAGAAAGCACATTGTCAACAACCGTTCTTACTCCCACAACTCTCATTTTTGTCTATCCTCGCTTGTGGAGTGGTCGACAAGCTGTTGCACGCGAAGGCCTCATCTGTAATGGCGATCCTGTGTATACCCGCAACTGGACGGCCCATTCCTTATCGACGCGCGGTATTGAACTTGTTCACGCATCCGATACCGACCCTAACTCTACCAAACCTTGCCCGGGTCGCTGCCTTTCGAATCCCCGTCGCTTGAGGGGAGGCCGAGGTTTTCTCATCATGCCTATCGACTCGCAAATCGACCATGACGGGCTAGGGACGGCAGCCTTGCGGCGATTCAACTCGACCGAATACAGCCTTGTGTGGGTTTGGGCGAAATGTAGCAACATCGCTTGTCCCTCTTATCGCTCGCCTCTCTCGTCACTCAGGCCTAGCCCTTTGATTGCTCTCTTGATCAGTTATCGCTTCTTCGCCCTCAATGTCGAGTGGGAAAGAATCGTTGCGAACGCTGCTGCAATTAGTCATCGGTTACCGGTATGTGGTATTGTATGAACTAATAGTTTCTCACAATATTGTAGCC